AATTCATTTTTCTATTTCAAAGCATTGAAGAACGGTCGTAATTGGCAGCTTCTGTTGTGTTTGTTCTGAATTCGTGAATGAAACAATGTTTAAAGTAATTAAATGCATCTATCTATTAACGGTTGGCCGTTAAAGTGCCGCATAGGAACGCTGTTCGTTTATCTCTTTTTGTTCTCAAGTAGTTAACGTAAGCCATTGAATAATCATCTCTTGCTCATCGTAATAAAGATGACCTTAATTGCCCTGAGGGCTGATTGCTCATGCTCACAATAGGAATGATTCGATGCGCAAAATGGAAAATGGACCACGACAGAAGAACGGACAGAGAGAGTCAAGAGAAGAAAGCCGGAAGAGGCATAAAGCTTTCACGCGAGAGAAGTCATTATGCCAATTTCGTCTTATGAGTTGAAGCATGGAAGAGATAATTCGATTAGCAGATGAAGAGAGAAAGTGAGGGAGGAAAAGCTTTGGCTACTCGTTCACATCTCCTTATTGGTCATGACCTATAGCCTAAGGGAATTCGAACAGTCCTCATCGTTACTATTCTCATTCAATTCTCGTTCCTCATTCATATGAAGCATAAAAAAAAATATTTATTTGCATATGCTTAACAATCGTTTTTCTTTTGTAAATCGAATAGGAGATGGTGAGAGAATGGCTTGAGAGAGACAGATAGGTTGTAATCTAATGCTTTCAGCATGGTTACATAAGATCATTTTCCTCAATGATTTACTTGTAGCCTTAAGAAGCTTATGCTATCCAACTCACCTATTTCCAGCTTCTAACAAGTTTTTTCATTCTGTGCCTCTTTGAATGCGTTCACTCTCCTTCCACCTACCCGCCGACTCATCTAAGCTTACAACTTGTTTGAAATTCTAATTTTATTCAATTTCTTTGAACATCAAAACTTCTCAAACACGTTCAGTTAGAGATAAATGAATAAAATGACTAAAAAGCTTTATGAAGTGGAAAGCAGTTTCGTGTCAATTTCACTCCTCATTGCCTTCTACAAATACATCTGATTCAATTTAAGGCTTCATCATCATCTTATGCTTCTTCATCTTCTTCTTCTTCTTCTATGTCTCCATCTTCTCAATGTTGACCTTATAGAACATGTGTTCTGATCGTGTGTGTATGTGCATATCCTTTCACACCTTTGACCGCAGGTAAAGCGTTCATAGTGAACACAAGAGAGAATGAGAGTGAGAGGGATGGGTTGAGAATGCATGCTTCATGTTATTCCTTAAAAATCTGACTCAAATTATCTTTTAAATAAGCAATAGCAATAGAGTCATTCATTCTGAATGTCAATAACTGCCAATTGAAAGCTCATCCAAATCATCCACGTCGAATTCGTCAGAAGCAACGGAATCTGGACACTTGACATGTTCTTGTTGAAACTAAACGATAAGCCATAGTTTCTATGAATACTCAAGGGATTCCATTCATGAATCTCTCGAAGACACGTTCACATCTCACATATATGTATTGAAGCTTAAAACTTAATTTTACAATCTCAACCCTCTCTCCCCTTCTCTCTCTAATCGTCATTGCCTCTGTTTCTCTCTTAACATAGACATACATCATATAATTGGATAATCCTCTATTATATCTATAAAATCATCTATAGCGGATATGTATATCATTTTTTGATTTCCTACTCATTTTCAACAAATATCTTCAAAGCTGTGTAATTTCTCTTTTGATCTTCTTCAATTCGTTGTTTTGTATGTCAGTTGTTCATATATCTCATAGCCAAGCTATCCATTTCATTAGTTTATTCTAATCACTCTTCATATTCGCAATTTCAAACGCTTTTTACTCTTCCACGTAGCCCACGTATTCCACGTAATACGTCATCTTTACCGTGCAACGCGTTACGTCAGCGTCATTTCTAGTGATGGTCTCATTGGACACGGTTGTGTCCAATAACTCTCCCACTAATATCATTTCAATCCTCTCTCTCTTTATATGATTCTCTCTCTCTCTTTATCCGCTTTGATGTTTGTTTGTTTTTTAATATTCTAATTTATATGCTAATTTGCAGTTCAACCAAACGCTTACTCAACTGGTTTTCAACAGAATATACTTGGAGTTAAATCAAATGTAAGTTATTATTTATTTGTTTATCTGTTAACTATATGTAACACTAACTATTATTAATTATTTATTTGTGTATATGTTGTTAGAAGCTGTAGATGACAGGCTTCATCTCCATTACTTCTACTGCATGTTCACCATCATCATCATTCCTTATTTTACTTTTTGAATATCATTGTTAGTACTATGACTCATTAGATTCTATTTATCACTTCTTCTCATTCTACTACTGATAGGTTCTATGTCTCCTCTTCCTCCTCCTCCTTCTCCACCTAATACACGCTCCAACTACAATTATCGTACTCTATCTCTAACTGTCTAACACACTCTCTTTCTCTCTTTCTCTCTTTTTTTTTGATTTCAATAACCTCAAAAGTACTTTTTTATATTTCATTTTAACAGTTTTTTGTTTATTTCAGATCGAAGGATTGAATCTATGTCTTCAATATCTACGATCATTAGGTGTCAATTGTTCCAAGGTCACATCTACTGGTACGTTCAGTTTGCCTTTGTACCCCCCTCCTTTCTCGCTCCGTCTCTCTCCCTGTCATCTCTCTATCATGAGCTTTCCCTCATATTCTCTGAAAGATTCGTTTATTTTTGTAATTTTCCATTTTTCCTGCTTCTTGTTGTTGTTAAAGCTTCAAGAAGAAGAAAAAAAGCTTTACAGTGACAGTTTGTTTTTCTTTTGTTGATACTGTCTCCTCCTCAAGACGATGGGTCAGCTTTCCTTGATGGCCAAAGACAATCTGTTGAGCTGATGTCCATATGGTTTCAATAACAAAAACGTTGGTAAAAAGCCAAAGACAAAGCGTATAATCATGTTGAAACTTTTGCTTTTCCTTTGCTTTTGTCTCCCCGGAGACAAATCTTTCACATCTTTTGCTTCTTTTAGACCTTTGCGTATCTTTCCTACCCCCCCCCTTTTCCCTCTCTCTCTCTCGGCCCTCTAGCATTATTTTCTTGAACGACTGTACTTAATAGCCTTCCTCTATCTCTATATTCATTTTTTTCTTAACTATATATGTATATAGTTAAGGATGAGCATCTACATTCGTCAATATTTGTTTTTTTGTTTTTGACGTTGTACCTGCTTAGTTCATTTGTGTTTTTACCTTCAATCCTCTATTTCCATTACTAATCACTCTCTTCTGTTTCTCATTTATCTTTCATCGTCACCTCGCTCTCCTTTAATCTGTCAAGAATGATGTACTATAGATCATTCGTTTCAAACAGCTTTTTGAACTTTACCATCTATGGAATTGTTTTAAATCTTTTCGCCTTCTTGCGGCTTTACTCCTTTTTTGTGTCATCTTCAGATGACAGCCGGCTGTTGTCAATCAAGGTTTTTCATGTAATCATCAGCTGTCCTCATTGACTTCCTTTTTAGCACATTTTGCACATTGTATAGTTATAAAGAGAGAGAGAGGTTGTAAAGAGAGAGGAAGCTGTATAGAGGGAGAGAGAGAGAGAGAAAAGATGTAAAAAATGATTTTGAAATGTTTGTTTGAAATCAATGAAACTACAACATTGGCTGGGAATCTCTTGCATTCCATTTTTTATACCAGTTTGTAGGAAATAAAAATAAAAAAAAGGAATTTCCATCAGATAACTTTTGGCTGACTGACCCTCTGTGTCACGAAGGGGAGTCTGTTGGTCATTCATTTTTTGAAACTAAAATAAATGATTTTGTAAATGTAGGAGAGGAAGTAGAAGTGATGAAAGCTATAAGAGAGTTATGATTCTCTCTCTCTCTCTCTATCTATCTGCATGCCTGTCATATACTACAAATGCTTTCGTAACAATTAACTTATGTTAATTAATTATAATCATAAGAGACATCAATTTAATTATGTACTTGTTGCGGAGGCATGCCGATGAGACTACGACAGAGTTGAACATCGTCCTTGGCCGTTACTCATCTTCCTCCTTCTGTAGTTTTTCTCCTCTCATTTCTCTGCATCTCTCTCTTTCTAAACAGTTATCTATGTCTCTTTTATAAAATCAACTGAAATCTTTGTCTGTCATCTTAGTCTTCGTAAGTTAGTCCGATTCATTTGACCATCGTTATAATTAAATAATACTTTTTTTGTATTCCTCTCTCTCTCTGTTTTTATCGCACTTTGCGGTGAAAACGTTATGATTCCAATTATGGTTGCAACCACTATCCCCCCCTCACTTCTTCAGATTCAGTTTTCAATCCGAGATTCATTCTTCCTTCGTCGTTCACTTTTTGCTGTTTCTAACTCATCCTCCTCCTCTTCATCATCCTTACTACTGCTAGTCTTGACCAGAAAAACGGTCTTTTTCAATCTTTTTCTGGAAGATGTTAATGAAAGATAATGTGGTGAAGATGATGATGACGAGCGTTGAGCCATTTGACTGTGCAGAACTTTCTGTTTCGCTTAGCTAAAACAAGACGGCTGTATGTGCAATAGACATTCCCCCCCCCCCCCCACCTCCTCTTCTTGTTTTTCCTTCTTCTCTTCCTCTTCTCCTTCGCTTTCTGTGTTTGAATGACAATTTTCTTTTTTTGTTCTTCTTTTTCGCAAGTTTCCCTCAAATCGTTGTCCGTCTTACCTAAATATGCCTTATCGTTAGGTGCAATCTCCGCAAAAGCTTTTTAATTTGTTCCGTTTCAACAAGAAGTTTTTTCATTTTCTTCTCCCCCCCCCCCCCCCCCTCTCTCTCCTATCTTCTTATACATATATAATATAATATAATATATATATATTTATACATTTACAGATCTTGACTCCGGAAGTCTTGGAGCTGTTTTACAGCTTATATTTGCTTTATCCACATATAAGCAACAGATAAAGGAGCGACGTAAAGATATTGAAAGTCGCGAAAGCGACCATCACACATATTGTGATTCATCCTTAGTCAATTACCACAAGATGCCACCAAGTGTTGCTGTCTCCAAGTAAGTTCCTTATATAGAAATCTTTCTCTCTTTCTCTTTCTCTCTCTCTCTTTCCCTCTCTATCTCTCTCTATCTGTATGTGTGTATGAGTAAGCTGTAAGTATGCGTGTGTGTGTGTGTGTGAAAAAATGAGTGTCTGTAATGAATACTTCATTATACATCATTTCTATTTTAATAGCGCCTCTACCCCATTCACACAAGCGATGCGCGAGAAAACGATAAAGCTTGCGGATTCTTTACTCATCCGTTTATTGGCTTTTCAGATTCATCTCATTCAATTGGCCATTTAAGCTCTACATTAGCTTTGGCTATTCTCAGCTTTTCCTGCGACATATTCAAATTTATATTTTTGAAATATTTTTTTCTCCTCCTCATTCCTCCCTCTATCTCTCTCTCTCTCTCTGTTTAATGAACTCATTCTCCCCTCTGGCTTTCATGAAAACGGAAATGAATCTGCCATGGAATTGATTGTATGCGTTGATGTATATGTTATCAGTATCGAAGCCATAGTTATGTTATTATAACTTTCTTTTTTTTCTTTTTCGCCAATGAGATATCCATTTCATTCATCTTCCATCAATTCGAACCCATTTGAGCCATTTTCTGGCGGCAATTTTTCTTTTGACTTCTTACATCTGCAGACAGGTCGATCTCTTCCATATCCACATACTTCGTATATGGAAGAATTTGTTGAGCATGTCCGATAGGCAACGATTAATAGCCCTAAGGGCATGAAATGCCAATGCAGTTGTTTAGAACCAAAAAAAAAACATTTTTTTCATTTTTTTTTGCTCTGAGAGAGTATGCCTTCAATTGTCACATGAAATGGCTGTTTAACAGTCATTCCAATTCATTTAATGATCAAAATAGAGAAGTCCAAGTGATTCCTGTGTGTACGACCTATCTTGTGGTCATCTGAGGTCGACGACGGTCATGAAATTTTTCAATTTCAATCGAAAGAAGAAGAAGAAGCCATAAAAGGGCTGTCTTTCGTCTTCATTCGTGTTGCCTCTACTAGTTGTTTGCATTCCTTTTCCGCTTTTTTTTTCTTCTCAACAATAGAAAATAAGTTTCTATGAACAATAAAAACGATGTTCCTTATGAAAACCTCATTGAGACATTTGTGTTCAAATCGTATCTTTCTCTCTCTCTCTCTTTACATACCTCTCTATCTCTCTCTCAGATGTTTTTTTTTTGCAAAAATCTTAACTATGCGACAATTGGATGGTTTGCAATAGCTGTTATGTGAAAAATATGCGAAAAGATGATGAAATTGCATCTTCTGGCAATTGCCTTACGAAGATTCTCCTGTAATTTTGTCATTTTGCTCTTCTCTAATCAATAGTTCACAACACTATATCCTTATTGTCTATCTTATAGTGTCCATTAAGCTTACTCATTTCATTTTCCCTCTCTCTTTCTCTCGTACTCTCTCTATCTCTCTATATATCCTTTTTCAGGCTTTAAGCTATTCAAATTTTCTTTTTTAAAAAAAAAAGCTGCTCAACACCATCATATTTGCATTTGTTGTAGCTTTCCCTTTCCTATCTATGTTCAATGTAATTCAGAATTGTTTTACAGACTGCCATCTCTTCATCAGCCACGGTCTTTACCGGCTGTCACCAGTAGCTCGGTTACTGGATCCAAATTGATGGCTCCTTCACGAATAGCTTTACCCAAAAGTAAGTTTAAAAATTATTTTTTCAATTTAAATTCTTTTCTTGAAATTGATGTAAGAAGGATGAGAATGTTAGATGGAGATGTGGTCAGGGGGGAGGGGTTGTGAAAGCGAAAAAAGTGAGAAACGATCCAGAGGGCGAGAGCTATGAGACATGAACGCAATGAGATATATACTCTATGGAATACTGACAACTGAAACGTCATGACAGCATAGTTTATTGAAGTACTGTTATTTAATTATAACAATATAAACTATGCGTATAGTTAAGAATTAAGATTGACCTCGTTCATATGAATATAATAAGATTAGCTAGTATAACACATGCTCATCTTACGTATCTCACACATGGCCTTACATTTGAATGCTCAACCTCCTCATGACACAAGCCTCTACTGTCCGCATGTATGTGAGTGTATGCGAGATGGCTTTTCCATAATTTATGAAATTAATATTTAAGCTTATATCTCCTCTCTCTCATATGTCTTTGTCAGTAACTTTTAACTTATGTAAAGAAATTAAATTAACTTAATCGTTTTGTTTATGGTCAGATGAGCTTTATAATTACATTTTCATTTCATATGAAGCTTTGAATGACAAAATCCAATAAGAAGATGATGTGAGAACAGTGTGAGAGGAACTAAGAGAGAAGAAGAGAGATAGAAGGAGTAGGAAGACGAAATGACATAAAGCTCCATCTCGTCCACTTATGCCCTTATTCCTCATCTATGAACCTGAAGACTTTAAGCTTCAGCCATTGTCCATCTTTTCATAAGAGCTCAATCGATAGATTGTTTGGCGTTATAATTAAAAAGCAATTAACACATGTGACAGCCGCCCCATCCCTCTTACTACTACTACTACTCTCTCTCTCTCTCTATTCCATATTCAGTGTCCGTCAGTCAGTTTTATATTGAACGATGAGCTCTCGTCTTAAATAACATCAGGTCATTTTTGTTGTTCTCATCTGATGCCTCTGACGCTCTTTCTTAACAGCCGTCATAGTTTGTATTCTATTTTCAAAGCTTCATATTTATATTTGTGTGAGTTGCATGAAGTGTCTGACGCACTGGTCAGATTTCGTGTTGTTTGTGCCTTCAAATTCAAATAACTATCTTTTCAATAGTTCTTCTTGCTGAGTAAAACAAAAACGAAGCTTCTTCTCCTGCTCCTTCTCCAGCTTCTTCTCCTTGTTTAGCTGTGTAGTGCTTCAGCTTTCATCCCTAGTGATATGTGCTGTTGAGATTCATCGGAACTTCCGTTTCATTTAAATGAATGTCCATAAAAAGGAAGATGCGAATGAATGATTTCAAAGCGTTCCTTCCATCTCCTGAATTTCCCAAATGGCCATCTCAAAGCTCTTCTCAATTAAGTATTCCTCTTCCCTTTAAACGTTTACTATATATGAATAGTTAAGTTGTGAAGGATTTATGTTATGTTTGTTTAAGGTATACCTAGTACACGTGAAGCTCCTCCATCGCCATCACCACAGACTAAAACATCAAGTTTGAGGCCTCCTACTTCATCAGCAAGTCTTCGATCACCTTCGCGAGGCTCTGGGTAAGTCATATACCTTATATGTCAATCTAATCAACATACTTGTAGTAATAATAATGGATCAGTAACAAGTACAACCAGTAGCACGATACGTGGATCTCTATCATCCATAGATTCCGCAAAATCTATTCCAAAACCCTCCTCAACCGTTGTTCGCCGGCCGCCGAGTATAGAGACGATTCCGACGCGTTCTTATGTTAAGCCGCCACAAGAAGTCAAAAAAGCTCCTGTCATTTCGTCTACCAAAGAATCAAAAATGTTGAAACTCAAGCTGTTCGGCAATAAGGAGAAGAAGGAAAAAACGCCCCAAGCGTCTCCAGCACTCGTAAGTCAACCATGCCAATGACATATTCAATGCTTGTACTAATCTCAGATTAAAAAGACAGTTGTTACAAATAATATCAGTCCATCGAAGATAGCAACACCTAACAAGCCTTCTATAGAAATGAAGACGTCCAGATTAACAATTCCATCGAAAAGACAGGTTAGTCTTCTTCTTACTGACTATATGAGGGTCTAGCCATTCTTTGCTATCCCCTTCGGGGCTAATTCATCTGTTTCAAGTTTCAACTTGAATCATTAAAGATCTGACATTCTGATTGTAGAAGCTAAAGTATTATTTCGTAAAAACTTAGAAAAGCTTCAGCTTCTTCCTTCAGCTTCATTAGTGAACAGCTTATATCGGTAATAGATATTTGGCTGTTTTTACTTCCGAAGATATAAGATTTTCATAGAACAGATGCTTCTATAGTTTCATGCGGATCCTCCCTATGAGTTCTCATCTTTCAATAGAATGCATGACCAATACAAACTTTGCTAATGATTGCCTTGCCTTGCCGGAGTGGAATAGAGATAGGGAGAGAGAGAAACAATGAAAGTAGCACAGGAGTAACAGATGATGATGAGAGTGCAAAGAGATGGAGAGATAGAGAGAGAGGGAGAAGTTACTTTGTAATGGTAAGAATAAATAAAAAAAAGAGAAAAGCTATACAATGATCAATAGCTTCTAATAAACTTTTGGTTTAAAAAAACGTCAGAATGGTCGGGTAGAAAGCTGCCAGATGTTTGTGTTCTTGCCAACATCATCGTTCTGTTGCGAAACGATCGTTTGCTTTTCACACTTTCTCCTCGTGCTTTCGTAGTTTCAACGAGCCGTTTGTTCATCTTTGTGTTGTTTTTTATTTGTTCCAATCATACTTATCTCTTTTTGTTTTATGAAAAGATGTTGTGTAAGAGGTTTTGTGTTTAAAATGAAATGAGAAGGAGAGAAAGAGAGAGATCTATGTTGCCGTCATTACATTCATATCTTATAGACTGTCCAATTACGTCCTAATCCAGTAGCTTCATCTATACTATCATCCAATAACTCATCTATAGAGAATCTAAAGAGGTTAGTATACTCATACATATCCAACTGTTGACGTATTCAGGACATCCAAAAGTAGTGAAGAAGATTCTGCATATGCCGGCTTCGGTAGCACCAGTCCAGCTTCATCAACTCAGAGTTCCATCAGCCTACGTTCTGCATCCACAAAGGTTAGTATGTTCTCAGGTTTATTTGTATTTAACAGCATTACTGCTAATATGATGAGAAGTTGAAAATTGAAAAGAGAAAGTGTATTGTACAGTTCTTAACATTCCTATTAAGGATTCGCGTGAGATGGTGTGTGAGAAATCTCCAACTCCACCTCCCCAGAATGATTTGATCAAAACGAAAGCTTCTGATGCTCAGGTTAGTTATTTCATATTTCATATTCAATTGTCACATCTCTAGGATAAGCCTATGTTAGCTGTTAAAGCTTTAAATGTAAACGCTTCCACTTCGAGCTTGCCCACATCTCGTTTGGCCAAACCAACAAGCATGTTGTCCTTAAATAGAGACAAGAAAGCTATTTCTGTATATCCCATTGTGGCTTCTATCTTTCTCATCATTTTAATTATAGACGGTTCCGAAAAATTCTCCAGAAGAGGAGAAGCCAGTTGCTTCGACTAGTAATGCTTCTACATTACCTCCGAGCCCAACTGTTGGAATCGTTAGTCCTATGCAACATCGTAAAAACCTAACTGGTATATCTCTTTCATCTCTCTTCATCCTCATTATATATGTTTTCAGTTGTCCCAACAACCAGATCTCCATCTCCAAGCTCTAGCGATGTCAAGTCTGAAAAAGTGAAACCGTAAGTGAATGAGTTTCTCAACTGAAACATGTAAACACTTGTTTTAGAGCTCCACCAATTAGAGGCAACTCAAAGTTGGAAAGTGGCCAAGACAGCGACGTAACTCACATCAAGGTTCCAGCAATGGCTCCTGTCCGTCAGCCACCAAGCTACACACAACTTTTGAACGAAGGAAGATTCCAAAAATCAAGTATGTCATTGATAGTTTTATTTTGAATTTCTATTTCGTCTTCCTTCTCTTTTGATTTTCTTTTTCATAATTGTCAGCCAACATGTAATTGTCGGCGGAAAGCCTCTGACAACTTGTCGGAAGGGTGAAGAATCTGTTGACCTCTCTCAAGAGCTGAAATTATTCTTTGAAGACCGAAAAAAAAAATGAAAAAATTTTGGAATAAACAGCCAATAACAACCATATATTCAGATAGTCGATTGGATTCGTCAACCTCCGAAGATTCGTTGGATTCAATCACAACGACTGTACGTGTACAAGTTCCTCCCACCGGATATCGCTCAGAGGGAAATACGATGCATCGCAGATCTGCAGCCAAAGGTTAGAGTTATTCAATATGCATCCTAATTCGTAAATTGTTTTCAGAAACCACGGGTTATGCGTCAGAAAGTGGAATTGCCATCTATGAGAAGATGCAAGATCGTTTACGGGAATGTCGAGAATCAATGGCACAAGGAGGATTGTACGACTATGGCGATAGGTACGTAATTCTCTCTTAAAGCATTTTTCTTTAAATGAAAAGAAAGCTCTTAATTTAAAGTAGAAAGACTAATTCGTTTTATTGCCCTCATATGGCTGTTAATCTCCAGTCGATTGCTCTACAACATTGTCTTTTTCAACATTTTTTGCTTCTCCTCAGTCCCTTGCACTACCCCCTCCTTCTCCTTCTATGCATCTACACTACATAGCTCTTCTGAAGAATCTCTCTTCCTAAGTTTAGAAAATAGAAAGAGAGAGAGAGAGAGAGAGAGAGAGAGAGCAAATTGAAGAATACAATGTTATCCTTCGCTTATTATTCATATTTCATATTGTTAGTTCTATATCTTTGTCTTTGATGTACAAAAGATGGAAAGCTAACTTCTGAATATGATTATGACTTAGCTTTTCAACTGAATTTCATAACCCTTTTTGGGATTATTGTCAAATTTGGCATTGATGGTCTAGTGCGCGCTATTGAAGCATCCATTTTTCATCCAGCTTCACTTTCCCTCCCTAGATAAGAATCAACATTTTGAAATTCGTTCAACTGAGTCACTGCTTCTGCCATCCGAAACAGGTACAGCCGTTCTTGACGTTCTGACATATTTCGAAAGCTAGGCTGTTTGCTTTCAATTCAACCAGCCTAGAACGTTGCTGTCATCTGATATAATCCACATAGTTACTGGATTTTCAACATAATTTGGTGGTTGAGTCCAATGATGTCCCTACCCATAAGGTCATATCCTCCAGCCAACGACTGTAATTCCCAGGCCTTTTTTGCTTCCATTCACTCTCTCCATCATTTTTCTTTTTTTTTCTAATTCTCTTGATTGAAGGACGTTTATTGAAAGATTGAAATATTTCAAAAAATGGCATTTTCCCTCATATGGGGGTGAGAACAAATCACTCAAGCTCATTAACTTTCTTCAATGCTTGATATGTCATCGAGAAGATTGATGTGACGAATTATGGGAGATGAGATCATCTATAGTGCATAATGAGCACAGAGAGTGTGTCAGACAGTCAGAGACAAAGAGATTTGATCATCTCCGGAAACGAACGAGCAAAGCTGGCTCATTCACTGTTTTTTTTTCCTTTCCGCTTCTCTAATTCGATGTTTGATGAAGTCAAATCAGTCTTCTCATGCACCTGAACCATTGAAATCATTCAAGACTTACCAATAGATGCTAATATATTCACATAAAAGGAAAAGCTTTCTCGTTGTGTGCGGAAGTTGACTTTCTCTCAAATCTGGCTGCGTCTCTCCTTCCATCCTCTGCTAATATTCAAAAGAAACATTTGAATTTAGCATTGTGAACTTAGTGTCGAAGATGCTCTCATGTAATTGCAAATGTTAAACAAATGCTTTTGAGGCCCTAATAGTTGTCAAGGTGTTTCCAAATAGACTGCTGCCACCTTACAAGCTCTAGCTTCCACAAAAGGACAAAAGCTTCTTGAAAAGGTCGAAATTCTTTTTGCCGCTTTACTCCATTCTCTCTATGGTTATTTGATTGAGCCTTTCGACACACTTTTCCCATTTTTCCTCTTCCACCGACGGAGCAAGAACGTCCTCACGTCCTCTGATAGAGATATCTAAGTTTGACGTCCAGCCCAGACATGTCATTCGTTGAGCGATTGATACTGACGAAATTAGCCAATTGGTATGTTTTTATTATTATTTATATGATTAATAACATATAATTGAATATAACTATATTCTATAATATGAAGAACTAGCGGTATCTCCTTTTTTGTTGTAACCCTCTCCTCCCCATTGAAGCAGCAATCACAACAGGAAGCCGGCTCATTAGTTCTAGCCGCCCGTCTCTTCCGCTCGTAACCCCTGATGGTCATTGCATCGGTGACTAAAACACATAAGAACATGCTTGACTTGCCTTTTACTCTCAATTTACATCTCATCTCTCTGTCTTCAGCTCCCTCTATACTAATTCGATGCTCTTGTTCTCTCTTATGGTGTCATTAAAAATTGATCAACAGATGACTAAGGACAACTCAAGCATAATTCTATTTTGAGCTCAAGTCACCTGCTGAATCATAATTCATCTAATTACATGTTTTCTTTCCGAAATACACGTTCGAGTTCTATATCCTGAAGAACAGAACGAGTGAGAAGCAGCTCAGTCATTGAGCTAGTCAATACAAGTCATAGCATTCAGTATGAACCTCCATGCGTTACAGTCAAATTGAAATTTTTTGTTCCTTCAGCATGAAAATATTTATTTTCAACTTAATATTTACAATTCGACAGCCTTCTGCTCATTTATATGACATTAGATAGGATTTGATTTAAAGGCTTTTCTTGTCGGTTACTGGCTTCTCATCTCAACCGCTAGTTCGAGGCTATTTGAATACAGATTTTGCCGCAAGCCAAACAGCCTATTTGGTTGGTTTAGATGTTATCATGAATCTGTTCTAGAGGCTTTCCATGCTACTCTTTATGCCTTTTGACCTTATCTAGATGAAAATATTTCAAGGGAGACCAGGGAGTTGAACGGCAAAGCCATTGCTTCTGCTTGTCGGAAAGACAATCGGCCAATTGACCACTCATATTTAATGGCTTCTCTCTCTCCAATCTCATACATGTTCCAACATGTGATTCAACTGTTCATATTCATCTGCATAGTTACTTTCATTTTATGTTTTCGTCCTCATATCACACACCAACACGAAAGTTCACTACGCTTGCGAATGTTACCAGCTTTGTAAAATCAATTTTCGGATCATGTCTCAACCATCTGTCTGAGTTAGATGAGCGAAGCAACAGATGCCATCGCAGTAGAAACAGTTTTCGTTCATTTATATTTATAGAAGAAAACGAAATTCTTCTTCAAAATTCGAAAACATTAACTTTCTGCTGCTTCGAACTCATTCTGTTCTTATGAACCATTTGAAACCTTCTTCACAACCACTCATCGTCAATATATTTGCATTTTGTGAACTTCTAAGCTCAAGTTGTTACGAGCTTCATTCAACGTCATGTCATTGTTATCTTCTTGCCTCACTTCTTCATCTTCTTATGCATTGTCTTCTCTCTCTCACCTCTTCATTATGAATCTTGTGTTGTATGAGAACAATTTGAGAATATCACTTTAAGTCATTCATCCATCCATTTACCCCTTCACTCAATTATAGTTAACAAGCTATAACTATTAAAGCTGAACATGTTCATACACTCACTATAAGCTTCTTCTACTTCATCCTCTTATGACTTGCCGCTGTCACCTTTGATTTTTTGTCGAATAACCAAATCAAAGGCATAGCGCTTTACGTTTTCGCGCTTTTCCATCTCTTTAGATGGCAGCAAGAAGGAGAGTGTAAGGCAGATGAAGGCGAAGACGAGAAAAAAGAAAAAAGTTTTTGAACAACAGCCATATTGACCTGCCTATCTGCATATTTGTCAAAGAAAATAATAAGAATTACCTTATATGGACGCTGTTTGTCCTTTTTTTTCCACTACATTACCTTGTTATGCCTTTGTGTCCGTTCCGTTTGTTCAATATAGGACGACGGTCAATATCAGATGTCTTTTGATACTCTCGCTTACCGAATCTGTTGCACTTTACCCTACCTTCCTTCATCTTTCCTTCTTTTTTTTCTTTTACAATTTTTATTTTTGCACTCACTCACTCACACACAAACACACGGCCAGTTATTGTATTTCACGTTTGTCCTTTCTCTCTTTCATCCATCCATTCTTCCATCTTTGTCGTTCGTTTTGCAAGCTCATCTGGATGTCAGCTGTGTTTCCGAGATTCTATTACTCTCCTCTCGTATTCCTTCATCATGACTTTCACATATACCTAAGAACACATGCTTATTCACCTTATTTTTTTTATTTTTGGCATCATCTCCATTACTCTTGCAACTTCAATGAACTTGCTTTACACATGAGTTGTTGAAGACAATACGAAGCTAATAGTTAATCATATCCTGTAATGCTTGTAATGAAGATTGTGCATACAATCTCTGGCAAGTCTAGGATGACTACTTCCCTCAGTTTTCTTCCTCTCTTCAAGCCGACTTGAGTCAGCATTTTCTTGGCCCTATAATAGGCTTTGTTACGACTTTTTTGCCATTTATTTTCTATCTACGCGGCTCTTGGGAAAGTTTTTGTCTGACCAAAAGTTTGAACTATTATTGTAAAATTGCTTTTTATTTATAAAAATTTATTCCATTTTTGGATTTGAGTGAGAAGTCGCCTTTGACATTTGCTCTCCCACTCTCTCTCTCAAATGACCATATTGGGAAGGCTGTTTATTAATCCTCTTATAGAGTAATTCATTTCAATGTCACAAATCTCACTTTGTGAACTCAAAAAACTGAAGAAGAAATGAATATTAACATTGCCATTGAATAGCAACTGACGGCCCTCTCTGTCTCCACAACCTCTCTCTCTCTCTCTCTTCTTCTACTCTCCCCCCCCCCTCTTACCCCAAAAGCCCGTTCATCATACATCTTCCATTTACAGCTGGCTCCGCCTCTTTATGTTAATTCTCCTAGTGAACATTCAGTTAAAATCCTTTTTTGCTTTTCTCAAACATCATCATATATCTATTTATATGTTTATACATATAGTTAATGATCATATTTATAGTTTGGAAGATAGTTCATCACTCTCCAGTGGAATTTCGGACAACTTTGACGATATATCAACGGATGATTTAAGTGGACCGTAAGTTTTCACATCTATAGTCTTCGATAACTGTGAGGTTATACTACACTCATCTAAATGAGAAAAAGAGAAGATTCAATGAAACTTAAAGTGGATCATGAAGATCTCGTTTTTGGCAACAAAGTCATAAAGGGCGGCTAACAACACAAAGTTAATCGCTCTAATGACCCAAAATGCAGACAGGTGGAGAATTATATGTAAATTGTCTAAACAAGAATGCCTGTTACCATACTGTAACGATCACATATGGTTTCTATATCTTGAAAGATCATTCAACATCACCATGAACTGGATGTAAACTTTCTATTTTTAGTGATCATTCAATGGCTACAGCAACTTATGGAAAGCCAAATGATTATCAACCATTCTCACGGAGTGTCCATTCACGAGGTACATATATACAAGTTATATCGTTAGTTATACTGATTGTTATAGGACCACGTAGTTCATCAACATCGATGGAACATCGTTCACGACGTGTAGCTGAACAAGAAAATCTACATCAGCTTCTTCAACAATGTCGAACCAGCCAACGTGGCATTGCTGCTGGAATAACTAATGTAAGTTAAGATCCTCATAATTCTCTTTGAAGAGAAAAAAGATTTATCTCATTCACACTATATCTCAATAACAATATGTGAATGAAATTCAACTAGGCGCTTGAGAAAAGCCGGTAAGCCGTTGAAGTATAAGTGGCGACCAACTGTGAATACGTCATCCACATATTCAAATATACTATTGATTTTCTATTAACTATTTTGAAAAGCAAGAAAAAAAAGTATATTTGGGCATCATCATCATCAGACGCCATGTTCAGCACTTTCTTTGATTCAAAATTGCGTTTCCGATGTTGGTTTTGAGCCTTTCTCATTGAATTTACGCTTCATCCACGCAACATAACAAGCTTTGGTTCGGCTGTCTATTCAGGTGGTATAACCTTATTATGTGCTCTCTCTTGATGTAAAGTATTCCAACAATCTGGATATTCTTTTGCTATTCAGCCAATAGTTTCTTAGTTATTCTTCATTACTCTCTAATTCACGTTGTTTTCTAACTTTTATATCTTTCATCCTCTTTTCATCGTCAGAGATGATGCTGACTCACAGAACGGTTGCATTCCATTCGTCTTGTCACAATCTCAATAAGCTCCAATCCATTCTTCTATTCAACCATTTTCTTATTTCATTCTCATTATTATATGTTATTTATATTTATTTTTTATTTTGAAATCTATTTTGTATACCGATTGCATGACATTCATGTTCTTAGAGAAGTTCCGTCGTTTTTCGAAATGTCCATTTGTTGAAGCTGTTGTGACATTAGGGAGCTGCACGCTTTCTGTCTTAAACGGTTTCTTTGTGTTCTCTCTCTAATTAGTGATGTGTCGTAATGGGTTCTAAATGAGCTGAACGAGACTCTTCACATCAATTGACCACATCGAGCTCTGTTTCTTCATAGTTTGGCCTGACAGCTGCATCAATCAGCTATTGTTTTGCTTGAGAATGGTACATATCAACATTTTTTTGCCTCTTTAACTAATTCATTAATGGAGGCAACAAAATAAAAAGAGAAATACATTTATATAAAATAAAGATGACTGAAAGCTTTGAGCTTTTTTGTTTTGGCACTCAGAGAGCGTCGAAGAAGAAGAAGATGAAGAGGATGATGATGATGGTGCCAGAGAGATATTTTCTTCATTGCACCCCCCACCCTCCTGCCTTATTTTTTCATCTTCTGTCAATCTAATAGAAGTTTTGTAATAATAGACGCTGTAGACAGCTGCTATGCCTGCGCAGGTTCTGTCTGTTATAGATGAACTCAGGTTCATCTGAGGACATATGTAATTCTGTTTTTGTTTTGCTCATTCCATTATTCAAAATAATAATATAGTTTATCACCTATATAGCTATGCAGAAATTCATTATATTTCTTCAGCCACTAACTGTATAACGCCAGATGAGTAAATAGCTATACGAGATCATCACATATCTCTTTTTGCCCTCTTTAAACACTCCCTCTAAAAACCATTATCTCAATTCATCGCCCTACTCCATTCGTTAGAAGTATATCGCAGTTATAACACTTTTCAATATCATTTTTTAAGTTTTAATTCCCCTTATTCAATGTCGTCTAAGCTTACATTTTTTTTTCAGCCATTACGATCACCTGGATATAATACGATTGGTTTCACTCGCAACGTGGACAGCGACACCTTGTCCGTGCATTCGCGTGCATCTGTGTCATCTTCAGCACGTGATCCTACAGGTAACGTATTCATATGATTATCCATCTGCCACTGCATACATACACCATATGTAACCATATAAAGCGCAAAGTTTCCGCTTTAATGACAGAATATCGTGATTTTTGGCATTAATAATAGAAAATATGCTACTTGTTGTCAAAGCATGAATATTCTTTTCAACAATGGATAATCAATCGTTCCATATAAGGCTTATCTATCAAAATAGCAGCAGACTCATCATCTGTTGTCTGTAAAAACTCCGCGGGTTGTCTTTAGCCTCCAATGACTTATCCATTTGAAGACAAAAACTAAGAAAAGATGTTTGAAAGTTTGATGGATGAAGTATATGGCTGAACATGGACAATCGTGTTCATATTTCATTTTTCTACATTAGAACGAACACTAAGCAAACAAAGAACACAAAAATAACTGCTAAATCATCAAACTTCTAAATATCCAAACGGATATTATTAATCCACCTCACGCTTGTCTCATTTCAGCATCGTCACTTTCATCGGGCTTCCATTCATTAGACCGGAAAACGCATATGACAGAGTTATATGAGAATAGTCGCATGTGGACCGATCGCAACGCTATGGCTGCCCTAGTATCACCTCGTCGAATGCCGCCACATGTGAAACATCAACAACAGAATGATGATAGGCTCTCCACAAACGGTAATCTTTCAAAGTTGTGAAATGGTCAAGTATAGCGTATCTCACTTTCATCATTTACTCTCATTAACTGATTGTAAGATACGTTAGTCTTCAAAGTTGTTGTAATTTTCCTGTGACTTCCCTTTAGTTCGCTTACCCGCATGCAAAACTATCCTTATCCTCCACATTACAAAAAAAGTTGTTCAATGTTGTTTCTTGTAGTTCTCTTTTAACTATCATTAGCATTTATGCTTCTTTAGCTTCATCCCTCCATACGTCTAGCACCATGTCACGCTCTATGGTGATGCTTGATGTCAGTTCCTCATCACCTGCCACACCTCGCAGAAGAACATCACCGCATGCATCTCGAAATGGACGAATGCCACTTTCAGTTGCAGCTTGCCCTATGAATAACGGTATGATTCCCTAGCCCAATGATAATCCACTGACCTATTGACAACCCATTCCATGATTACAATAGAGCAGCTTTCAGCCATTCCTTTTTTCGAATTTTTTTTCAGTTCTTTCAATTCGCTTACTCTCTTTAGTTTCTTAACTTACTTACGAAAAATACAAATCTCAACTACAATGGTTTTAATTTTAACTTTAGGTTCAATCAGTTCTCGATCTGGTCGTGAAGGAATATACTCAACGTATCGAGATCCTATCCAACTTCATCGGTTAAACGATGAAGTCAGCCGCAGCCCTTCTCATTCTAGTAAAGATCCGATGGGATCACACCTCTCCTTGGCTAGCTCAACAGCTTATTCTACTGTAAGAATTAAATTAATCGAAAATCAAACAATTCACGTGACAATTACAGATGAACGAAAGATACGAAGCTGAAATTCGTAAAATGAATAATGAGCTAGATGGATATCGTCAAACTGTTCATAAGCTGACAAGAAAACATGATGATTATAATCATCTGATGGAAGTATTTGACCAACGTCTATCATACTTGGCTCGACATGTTGAGAAAGCCCAGTTAAAGGTGAGTAGATCATACAATCAATTTGTCAAGCAAACTCATAATTATGTGGTTGAAATAGTTTTCAAGTAATTCCTCTTGATTGAGAAATGCCAGCTGGCAGATGAATCATTTTCATCAAGAGTCCTGTCAACTCACTCACTCTTGAGGCACTGTGAAAATCCCTCTTGCCACTATAAATTACGAGCTAATGCTCATCTATCAAGCTGTAAAATAGCTTGATGGCAGAATAGTTAGTTAGGCATGCAAACCACTAAAGCTTTAATTGTTCCCTTGGTCAAAAGTAAACTTATTCACGATATATCTAAAGAACCCTCTCATTTAATGAAAATGGGAGCAGGATGTGGGATATGAGGGATAATTGCAAAAAAAACAAACCCATAAGCAACCGTTCTGTGAGTTCTGCATACTACCATCACTTTTCGATAATTGTAATGTGGTTGTCTGCCTTCGTAGTAGCCCGAACAATAGCATTCAAAGGACAACGTTTATCAATCTCAAAATCTTGAGTAAAATATCTTCTTCAAAACTGACATTCCCAACTTCCAAGTTTCCCAAGCAGTCATTATTCATATTTTCAGCCTGAGGAACTAGCTAAGCTTCGCCAAGAAATCGAGAACTTACGTGATATGAGCAACCGGGTTGCCCAAACCGCGGATGCTAAAAGAACTCTGGTAAAACAGTTTTCATCATCGCTGAATCAATCTTCTTCTTACAGGAAGGTGCAGGAGAGCTGCTACGTCAACCTTCTTTAGAGTCTGTTGCCTCTATGGCTAGTCATCGTTCTTCTATGAGCTCATCCAGCAAAAGCAGTAAAACAGACAAACTCTCTTTGAATAGCTTCGGAGCAAAATCAAAGAAAAGCTGGGTAAGTGTTTTCCTCTCACTTTTATATAGCTGAAATTAGAATATATTTATGAATAAACTAATTTTAGACAAATAGTATGGATGCACAGGTAAATTACACATCCGTGATTGTCTTTTCGTGCTAGTCAAATCTATTTCCTATGAAGAACTATTCCTCATCACTATTTTTTCAGATTCGTTCTTCATTCACCAAAGCCTTCTCCAAAAAGAAGAATAAGACCTCAGAGAACGATCATCTCAACACTATAAATGGGTCATCCACCAGGTTAGTAACTGTGTAAAACCTTTCAAATATTTTGGCACTTAGATTGGATGAAATTGAAGTTGTGGAACTCAAGAAACAGTTGGAAGACAGAGATGAAGCTTTAACCGATGTCCGCCTCGACGCTCTTGATAGGGCAAGGGAAGTAGACGTGCTTAGAGAAACAGTGAATAGGCTAAAAGTAATTATCTTCATAGTATGACTGATTTACCTTCATTGTTCTAGAATGAAAACAAGCAGCTTAAACAAGACATGTCCAGACTCTTATCAACAAGATCTAGAGCTTCATCGCAAGTCTCACTAGCGATGAATGACGAAGAGCCTCTATACGAAATTCCTCCAGCATCTTCAAGCTCTGCTAGCCAGTCGAGTAAACGTTCATCAGGATGCAACTCTGTAAAAGTGACTGTGAACGTTGATATGCGTGGAGTTATAAGCTCTGCGATTTGCCCTGATAACGAAATCATCATCGGTTTCTTGGCGATCCCTGCTAAGTACTCTACATGGCAGGAACTTGATCAGCAAATATATACCTTGTTCGATGTGAGTTCACTTGTTTGTTTCTGTGATAATTTTCTCTTAAGGCATACATAAGCCGCATCGATCCAGATCGACTATTGGGCTTACACTGCTCTGACAGTCTCATCGGTTATCAAATTGGCAATGTCATCAGAGAAAAAGAAGGCTCCTTGCCGGACTCTCACCCTGCCGATGTGATCTCTCCAACCACAACAATCAGACTGTTCATGCGTGGTGCAGCTCAACAATCTCTAGATTCACTCGTCCTAGAATGTCTCTTCCCAAGGTCCATGCTAGAACAACTGCTTCAGTTCCTGCTCACTCATAGAAGACTTGTGCTCTCGGGTGCAACAGGGATCGGCAAAGTGAGTTTTAAAATTATGGTACGAATACTAAAAACGTGTTTCAGAGCAATTTAGCCAGACAGTTGGCTTCTTACTTGTCTGTTCGCATTGGACTTCCACAAGATGGAGTTCAAGATATCAAAGTGCCTGATGATACCAATGGCAAAGACATAGTTGAAGTTGAACAACAACTAGAGAAGCTACTGAGGGGTGATGCAAACGTCGTGGTGTTGATGGATAATATACCTCGTCACCGAATCGCCTTCGTATCATCAGTTTTCTCAACAGCTGAATTGGGAGTAAATGATGGACCATTCGTTATTTGCACAGTGAATAGAGCATGTCAACTGCCTGAAATGCAAGTCCATCACAACTTCAAACTGTTTTTGCTCACTAATAGGATGGATGGAGTAAAAGGCTTCATGGCCAGGTATATTCGCTATTTGTAGACTCAGAAGACTTGATTTCTTATAGATTCCTACGCCGACGTATAATTGAGGCTGAGTTTAGACTATCCCGACAAACTCCTCAAGAGCTCATTAGAGTTATACAATTCCTTCCTATAGTTCTCCAAGCCGTGAACACTTTCATAGAAAAGGCTAATTCCTTGGATGTTACTGTTGGCCCTCGAATATTCCTCCAATGCCCATTAGGTATCGAAGAATCGCGCCTGTGGTTCGTTCGATTATGGAATGATAACATTGTTCCGTACATGGTACGAGTTGCTCGAGAAGGAGTTAAATTCCTTGGCCGTTGTGGTTCATTCGAAGACCCAACTGATGTGGCCTGCGAACATTGGCCCTGGATTGAAGGACCGGGAGGGGAAGAAGTCCTCACACGATTATCAATTAAGGATATAGGACAGGTAGCTAATCAATACTGTAAAGACTTATTGAATCATTTTAGGGAGCCAAACAACCATTCAATCCTTTGGATACATTGATTCGTCTTCAAGCTAGTCGTAATTCAGCAATTGAGAACATTTAATAGCTCAAGAAAGTTTCTTTCCGTGAGTGCTCGAAACCCGAGCGCTCTCTTTCACTTCTTGTCCTTGTCTTCGAAGCACTACCTCTTATGTAAATTTTAATTAATGATTCTGCGGGTACCCTTTCTCTTGAAATTCTTGCTCTTGCTGCCTCCTTCCCTGCCAGGTGAATACCTTTTGTGATTTGTCCCGCTCCTATCTTCAATAGTCAGTAGATGTTTTCCCAGTGTAACATATAGTCCTATAATTTTTTTTTAAAACAGAGTATGTGTATACAGATATTTTCCGAAAAGAAAAAACTAATAAACCATTCAAACATTATTACGAGAACATAACATGCAGCATTCTTCGAGCATTTGAAATAAATGAGACTGAGTTGCCTGAATAATAGTATTACATTGCAAACTACCATGCACAGAATGAAAAAAAATGTGATCGAGCAGTAATTAAGAGGGGTGAAAACAAACTGGACTTCAACGGCATTAATCAATGTTAACAGACAGCATAGTGTACTACAGTAATAGCGATTCGTGTTTCCGAACGTTTTAGACTTCCTTTTTCGGTGCCTGAAACAGCATGTCTCAAGCAGATATAGAGTTGTTAGACACAAACTTTGGTAAACAGCACACACTTATCACCAGCTGTTTTTTTGATATAATTCATGAACTTTTGAACACCTGCACGTATTCTGTCCTCACAATCTCCGCATTCATCAAGTATCTTAAACAGTGATAAGAAGTAAGTTAGAAAATTTGTTTAAGTAACCGAATACACAGCTGAAACTCGGCGGTAAAGAGGCTCCAAGTACCTTATATGAACAGAAGCGAGATTTATCATGCTGAGTCCCGTATGAGCAAGATATCTTCAGAGGACATAATTTGTAAGCATATTAAAGACACAACTTACGCGCATGACATCTGCTCTGGATGTTCTGATAAGCGTTCAAGTATTGCAAAGAGTAGAACAAGAATCAAACTAACACTGATTTCCTGAAGTATAGAAAACAGAATGATTATTTTGATTCCTAACCTTACACTTTCTCCATCAAATCCAGCAGTTTTCGATGGGCATACTTCTAAATGCGAAAGTACGAATGTAGTCATCAATCCAAAGCAGAATCTCAAATTTCCTTTGTCATCGATAATGTCAAGAGCCGCCAAGAATCCGGATATCAATTGCATTCTGAACTATTTTTATGAATCGAAAACCTCGTTCACTCACCCTGCAGAAGGACCTCGTTGCATGAAATGTCGCAGGAACTCTTCGAAGATCACATGGACTTGTGACATGGGAGTCTTTGAGTTTAGATAGGTCCTATTATTGATCGCTAGGTTCATAAAGATAAGTCTTAACATACTTATATAATAATGTTCCTATGAGCTTAGGCCATCTATAACATGTACAATACATCAATCGTAACAGGTTCTCGGTTATAGTGGCTTCGTACTTCTTGTGCTAAAAGTAACGAAGAGTGAAAATGCAACCGTTCTATTACGTACCGAGACCAGGACAGACTTTTCGAGACAACTCGCGAGTTTTTCTGTTACATTCGCTTCCTCTAACTGTGAGCATTCAGGATAGGAGAACCTCCCTACAGAAGGAAAACCCCTGACTATTATCACATCTGTTATAGCAATAACCGCAGCAGCCTTGAATTGCCAGTAAAGGTAATGAAAATACAAATTAAAAACACCTTCACTTCGTCTTCATCAATCTCAATGCTATGACGGAGCAGGTGTACGTAGCTTTGGAATAAGAAGTCGTCCATAGTGCATACAAGTCCAATGAGACTACACCCAAGTGTTCTATGGGTGATATTGGTCGAGAGAGAAATATTCTTTATCTGAACACTGAACACGTTAACTTATATGGGAGTTGAAAACTTACTATCTTTATGAATGCATTTTTCATCAGAGGATCCACTTTTTCTATAGCGGCGTAATGAAGAACGCTGTTGAGCATGACACCACATCGATGAAACAAATCAAATTCTCCAATGGTACCTTCACTGGGGATCAATTCAAATATGGAATAGCATAACCAACTGCTGAATTCCTAAACAAGTTTGAACTAGTATTGTAGATATGATAATATTGAAACCTCTATTTCAGCTCCACCTCTTACTAGATACTCCAGAACTTCATGAACCCCGAACTCCACAATTTCAGGACACTTTGTGAATGATGGTTCTGATATCATGTAATATAAAGCTTCTCTCCACGCTTGCCTATAATTAATAAAAAGTTTTTCAGAGGACAGATCGAAATACCTTCCAACTGAGCACGTGTGATCCAGGCATCTAATCATAGCACAGATTTGACGAATACAGAAAAACTTGCGATTCGACCATTTCAAGATTTCTCCTGTTTTCAGGAACCTTTCTAAGGCTTTGAGTAAACATGTTGAAGAATGGACTTACTCAAGTAGTAAATCTGAAAGACTTTTTAAAGTTGGCAGTAGGCGGGATAGAGCAATATCTCTTGGCCCAGATAAATGTGGAAAACGGTAAGTGTTGAAAATGAATTGTACCAAACAGCGGTGAGTAAATAGATCGTAGTAGAGATCTTTCTCACAGTTCCTGCAATAAACATGGTTGATTACTCAAGAACATAGTGCCTAACTTGATGGTTTCCGCCAAACTGTCTTTATCATGAATTCGATAGTTTTCCCGATATTCACCATCGATATCTCTCAAAAAATTTATGAACCCTACTCCGTCTTCTTTATCTCCGAGAGCAGAATCCATGAAATGAGAGAAGGATACCATCATCTAGAGGAATGTAAGTATTTGAGATTATTAATTACAGTGTTACCAAGTTGACACAAACGTCTTCGTTCTTCAGGACGTCCAAGTAGTCAAGCAAGCTAGTTGGATAAGCAACCAGATCCGTATTCGTGCATAGAGTGGCACCAAAAGTGGTTTCGAAATCCCAGTCTTCTTTCAATGAGATGAGCCAAAATGGTACCAATTGTCTAGCAGCCAACCCTCTCATCGATGCTTAAATAAGTTAGAAGAATGATATATGCTAAGACTTACAATCATCTGACTGGAATAGAAACTTCAAGAAAGTTTCAATTTGACTATTTTTATAGGAATGGAGATGGACAGATTTAGCGATTTTGCCAGCCATCAGTAATTGACCCTTAAAAACGAAAACTTTGATATCAGAAAACGTTAACTCGAACTGATATGGTGTCTTCTTGAAGTAGATACTGTAAGCAATCATCGATATCGCTGAACGTGGCAAGCGGAGCCAATTTGATGGCTGTTTCTCTCACTATTATAGACTCATCCCGTAAAGAGCCGAGAATGACTGTAACCGCAGGAATAACGCAATCTCATGGTAGTGTTGACTTACTTGTTCGAGAATTAACTAAGTTTCCCTTCGAATCATAGAACTGTCGACAAGGTAGGTCTGATATGGCCATCAGGGCTGCTTTTCGTACTTTTGGATCCTTAAAACATTTGATTTCTAGTTGTCATATCTCAGTACCTTATCCAGTCTTCTCGTACACAATAAGGCAGCCCATTGTATTGTCAATGAAGAAGGTAAACATGAATCGCGGAAGTTATCCGTGTCCTCTAGAAGAAGGAATGAATGAAGCACTGTTAAGAGTTATGTACCGTTTTCATTGTTATCGATTTCATCTGATCGTGCACGGAAAACGAAAGAAAGCAGCATACATGCTCTACACCTTGCGAACGCATTATTACTTCGTGAGAACTAGAAAGAAAAGGAATTAGAGGAGGTAGCAACACAGACCACGCACTCCATCTACTTCTTGACGAATAACACACAAAGGCAGTTCACATCCGTTAAGATGACATTTGATTGCAATCTGAATTATCATGTTGTCTTATGAACCTCTTGTTAGTAAACTTTTGATAAGAAGTAGAATAATGATTCGATACTTTCGAATCTGGCGTTTTCATGAGCAATGAGTTTTCCTAGACCACCAGACAGTACTCTCACAAGTTCATCAGATGTTTGCTTGTCTGACTGCAAAAGCTATTCTCAACTACTGTAATTCAAATGTAAGCTACCCTCAGGAATACAGCTACACATTCTAAGATATCCGACTCAACGAATGTACAGTTTGATAAAACACTTTCTAATATTCGTGAGACAGTTGAAACTGCTTCGTTGAGTTCTGTTGATTCTTTGATTTGTTGTTTTTCCTTCTTTACTTCGATTCTATTAAGTGGTAGCCTTTGAGATTCAAAAGCAAAGTCATCGTCGACTATTTGCTGCAATGGAACCAAAATACAAACATATCTATCCTATGAAACATACACGTTTTATCTTTATGTCCTTTTTTCCCGACATTGTAGTTTCATCAATTGACCGACCGGCGTCCACGCAATTAATTTGAAAAATGGCACCGCGCCAACCGCCTATATCACTCAAGCCATAATTCGGGATTTGAATTGCCGCGAATTTCAAAACTCTAGTTTGCTCAGAGCGTCAATGAGTTCGAAATTGCCAATTATCTTTTTTTTTTCTTCTTGATTGTCAATTTTTTTCTGTTCTCTCTTCTTTCCGTTGTTCTTTCTTAAGCTTCTGATTGTTGCTAAGGTTTCTTTCTCTTTCATGATTCTCACTGATCATTATGAGTTTCAGGGAATATTTGATGGGGGAAGTAGCGCACCGCAGAAACCACGACGATCGGAGTCTACGATGTAATGTAAATGAACGAAGTAATAATCCGGCAGCATGTTATGGCCCATCTTCCACATTACAAAAAATTATGGATTCCAAGGAATATTTCTACCACGAAGTTCAACAAACTGATAAGGTGAGGATTTGGACTTGGCTAATCCGCATATGCCATGCTCCACTTACAGATGTTGTTCGATAACAGAAGAAGATCCCGTTTATCGAGGGAACTACAAAGACGATCAGAGATTGAACGTTTACGGAGAAAAAGTGTAAGTCTGGAGCGAATTGTGCCGGTAATGGTCTGCAGCCAGTCAAGATGATGTGATCGAGTGTTTCAGACTCCCGTCATTGTTGATCAATTTCTTGTTACATTAACTATGCATGTAAATCGAGTGGAATATTTTGAACTAACAAATCCTATTGGGTAACAGCTAGTAGCACATATCTCGATGTAATTCCTTTTACAGCAACGGAGGATCAAAACTTGATAACTTAGCCAAAATTTCTGTCGAGTCCAATACTATTGTGCGACTACCGGACAAGGATGAGAATGATCCCTATTTAACATCACAAGTAACTATAACCGGAAGACTCGCCAATGTGGAAAAAGCAAGATTAAGAATAAGAGTTGGTCATAGAACCCATTTCCTTGAGTTTAGGTATTTTCTAGGAATGTGGCTTGATCGACGTCATGTTTCCTTTGAGCAATGTCAGACCAGAGGTACCCATGGGTTCCCGTGAAGAGATCTGTCATTTCTTGCTACAAAAAGAGCTTCTTAGGTTTATTCCCTCTCATCTTCGGGTCCACATCATGGATAGGAACTGTTTGTTCAAAGTTGGTTTACGACTTCTGATAATCAGCAGAGTTACTTCCAGACTTTCATCGTCAAGATAGTTGGCCGTACAACAGACGAAAAGATCATCAATGAAACTATTCCCAAACTTTTAAACATTTTCTATACACCTGATGTAGCTGCTCAGGTACACCAAAGTCATCTCCCCACGTAATCCTTCTGACTCTTTCAGATTCCACTTGCAACACAAGTAGATATTCCTTCATGTCATCGGTATCTTGTATTCGGACATGGAGAAGCTGTTAATAATAACCTGGTGAGTCTCCTACTTGAACTCAACACTATCGTTTTCAGCTGGCCATCGCTAAATTAACGAACACAAGTATTCTTTTCCCTGCTACATTATATGGTGATAGTCCAGTGTTCTCTTGCTTTATTCTTGGAGAGATAGATGTTTTACAAAAGACGAGAGTATATCTTCAGGCTGGTGTGATCCCCCATCCCCCTTCTCATGTCTCTGCTTTCAGGGTTTACTACCAGCCCAATTGAGTTTCACAATTTATGACAGCGACCTTCGATACAAACGAGAAACTGACGTCAGTTCCATCAAATCCACATGCTATACATCTATATCTTCAGAGCACTTACAAGCATTTTGACCGCAACTCACAAGTTTTCTTACGCGTTCAGCCTTCTGAACTTCAACCCATCGCTCGTCTTTCTAATGACCCTCTTATTGTGAGTTCCTCTCCAACTACAATCATCAGCTAATCCTGTTACAGCACTATTTTTGTTTATCTACAAGAGAGTATAATGTAAATCGACTATACTCTGTTGTCGATTTGACAGTTCGAGGAAGTGACTCCTCCAAAATTCCAGTCCCTCCGACTAATAACATGTTCCAGCAATTAATTCCGCTTTTGAGCGATCCTTCTCTTTTTTTAAATTTCAAAGTAGGAACCTCTAGGTTTTGAATTTGATGATTGTGCTTTCTATTTCAGAGTAGAGCTGACCCAAAAAATTTTCTTATACCTCCTATACGACGAGAAGTTGCGCCGTTGGAAGAAAGCAGAAACGAAACACCCGTACCCAAAGACCCCAATATAAGAATCCCTACAACAGATTCTGGTTCGCTAGTTCTACTCACGAGCTTTTTATCATAGGCTTCCAGATTCATGTAGCCTGTCACAGTCATCCTATGAAGGAAGTATCGGAAGGCCTCGTTTGATCCCAAAAGTAGATGATCCTGGTTAGTCGAGACTCTGGCGTTATATCCATTTAATCTTATTCTCAGTATATCCACCCTACCCTAACTATAGACAACGAGTTCAACAGCCTGAATTCCGTTACTATAATCAGTCTGCTTACTATGGAAATAGTACGTTTCCTACGAATTCCAGCGGTTTTAGAGCTCCAACTTCAGAATCGTTTCGAACCTACAGTAACGGTAGATTACGGCCTAACGACAAGCGAGTAAGAGACTAGCAAGCTTGAGATTTTATCCTGTTTTTCTAAGACTACCTATGGGATGACCAGAGGAACTTGTCGTTTTTCCCCTTTTACCCCAAACAAGAGTGAGTTGTCACTCAAACCCAAAGTAAAAGAAGATGATGAAGTTTACTACGCCCTGAATGGTAATATTGTTTGCTTTTGCTGTAATTTTGCTTTTTCCAGATAGCGAAATCAGCGCAGCTAATCAAAGTATTGATGGAGACAAGATGAAGAGATTCCTTTCACCCAAACCAAACCTGGGACAACAGCAATCATCCTTCAGAAATCGTATGGATGAAGATAACGCTGGCAGATACATCAACCAGCCTCCTCGTTTGCAGGTACTTGGTAGTTTTCTGTTGAATGCATTTATATGGTTTAGCCTCGTCGAGAGCATCATTATGAAGAGAAGGTTCAGCTACGTTATCGTACAACTATTCCTACTGAAGATGATAACATCACTAAAATGAACCCAGAGTGTACCAGTCAGCAAGTGATCGAGCCTCCAATGTCGCCATCTGGTGAATCTAGAAGGTTTCTTAACTATCTGATCCAATCGTCACCTTCTGTTTGAAGGATGAATGTCATGGAACTGATCATGAAAGCAGCTGAAGAACCCCAGTCTGTCGCGAGGAATCGGGAAATGAAGGAGTCGGTAAGATACTTTTCACTTATTACTTCCATTTTCTACTTCAATTTTTTTCGATTGAAGAGTAATGGTACTGCTGAGTACAATGGTCGGACGTCTACAATGGTTCAAGAGAGACAAAGTTTTTTGAGCCTCCTGTTTAATAATAAAAAGATTATGCATCGAAAAGAGTAAGTCCTTCTCAGCCTTGCCAGATCATTTGTCGCTTTCAGATCTTATGAACAATGGGATTATGTATAGCGTGAGCCTTCTCACTTCTGATCTAGGAAAGAGTCGAACTAATGAAAAACTCTTCCTCCATAGATCATTCCCAACATAAGCTTCTGCACGAAGGACCTAACTCCTTCAACTTTATTGTACGTTTCACTTTTTTGCGTCATTTTCTGAACTCCAGCCGCTTCCTCCCTAGATAACAGTTTTAGATATAATTTTTTTACTACCCGTAATTACATGAGTATATTTTTGACTGTCCGTTTTTCTAACTCAAAGGACTTTTTTTTTCATTTTCCATATTATATGCATGCATGGTATAATTTTCTAACCCACTCCGTTTTATATAAACTGCCACTTGCTCATCTCCATAAATCTTGAAAAAAAAAGAGAGGGAGGTATTTGATTGTGCTCTTGTAAACATTTTTTGCTACATATCAGGTTCTTTCGGTTGTTACATAATTCTCAATACTTCTTTGCATTTTATATTCACGTGAAGAAGTTCTCGTCTCAATTGTGGTTGATGTCGATTTCGTTTTATGTATCCATCTGTATCAGGTTAATAAAAACTTGAACAACTTGCTTTCATATATGTATATTTATAATTTTGTAAAACAATAACAACACAGTCTTCCTGCCATCACTCATTCATCATTTGGTTTCATAAATTTACTTGATGTACTAGCTTCCGCCCATGATTTGTCTACAACACGCTTACGAATCGAAGCTGGATCGAAGTTAAGCTTTCCTCGAGCTTGTTGATCCATTAACATCTGAAATTTCAAGGTACTACTGTATGCCATGAAAGGACCCACCAAACGATCGTGCTTACTAGCAAACTTCTTACGTATAGCTTCAGATCCTTGGCCGCCAAGTCTGCAAGAAGAAAATGAAAAGGTAAGAGAAGAATAAACGTACGCTGAAGCCATTTCCTTATCTTGGACATCAACTTCTTCATCATCTTCAGACTCTTCCGAGTCTTCGCCATTCCGTATCCTTTCATGATAAACCATTAATTTCTGTGAAAGTAGAAGCTTGGGATGGAAGTATATTGAAGATCGCTTACCTCAACTTCTTCATTGAATCCTTTGTATGACATCCTACCGAACTTAAGACCTTCTAAGGAAGTTATATCAGTACTAAACTCAACTGTTCTGAAATATTCGTTGCATACATGTCTTCGGAGAGGGAACATACGGTTCATGTTTGATTTCTGAATCTTCTAAGAGATTTTCATTCTTTAATTCTTCTATTTTCTTATTTGCATTTCTTTGTAGTCTTTGTTTTGTTTTTTGCATGAACTATAAATATCTCATTATTCTCCTACTTCTCACAGCCAACTTACTCTCATGTCCAGCACACCCTTCGAGATCTTTTTTCGTGCATCGTCCATTATAACACTTGAAGTAATTGCTCTTTGATTAAATACTCTTTAAATATGTAAAATACGAAAAAGAAACAGTTGAAAGAGCCGTTAGACTCTCAGCAGCACAAAGGTCTAAAACATCGTGACGGGACCATAATGAAGAAATCAGACTCGCTCATAAACTTTGGCAGGAGCCACAATATATTGGTTTTTCGAAAAATGTTTTTTTCCTCTCTTTATTTTTAGTTCGTCAAGAATTAATTATCATGGATGAAGTAGTTACTAATTCTGTGATCTAAATACGTTGTGTCCAAGAAATGGCCTTATTGGTCCCGACGCGATAAGGCAAGCCGCGGCTATGCGTTTTCGAAAAAATCATTGGAGCTTCTTTTTATTTTCTGCTCAGATTCTGTTAATTTATTATAATTTCACGTTTTTTTATTGTCATGTAATAGTGTCTTAAACAATGATCTTAAAGTGTAGTTTTCGAATTTGCAATACTTTGCCTTATCTAGAAATTGTTTCAGTGAAGTCGATCGAGTTTACTCAAATCGCTCAAAATGGCCAAGTAAGTTCCTTTTTCATATATATTCTATTATAATTTTTTTTTCAGCCCAGTTAAACCACGTTCTGAGATGACACAAGAAGAGCTTGCTGCTAAAGAGCAAGAGGAGTTCAATGTCGGACCATTGTCCATCTTGACCAACTCTGTGAAAAATAACGCTCAGGTAAGAATTTATTTTTTTATTTCAGTTCATACTGATTTTTCAGGTTCTCATCAACTGCAGAAACAACAAGAAACTTTTAGGAAGAGTCAAAGCTTTCGATAGGTATGTGTATCACTAATCGAATGTTACATGGCCTCTGTTCAGACATTGCAACATGGTTCTCGAAAATGTCAAGGAAATGTGGACTGAAGCACCGAAAACGGGAAAAGGAAAGAAGAAGGTAAGCATTTTCAAGTCGTTTGAAATGTTCAATTCGTGCTTTTAGGCGAAGGCTGTAGCTAAGGATAGATTCATTTCTAAAATGTTCCTTCGAGGAGATTCTGTTATTCTGGTTCTCAAGAATCCTCTTTCAACTGCGGATTAAAGTATTTGTTATGTTCTGTTCCACTTGAATGATGTGGTAAAATGATCTTCAGCCTCACGGTTTTGTACGTTGTTCAATTAAGTAAAGAATGAATCGTAATTTATCCTCCTTTCCATTTACTGGATGCTGGCTCTTGTCCTGCTAGAGTCCACGCATGTTTTCATTTTTGACCGTTGCAGCGTACGGAACGGTTGCATTCACCTAGCATATGACTCCATCTAACTATTTCATTTCAGGATTGCTGTTGGTGTTTTACCCAATAAGGAAATATCACTAGTTGTTAGGAATCAATTAGAAAAGGTTTCGAGAAATCATAAACTATTTATTCACATCTAGAACGAGGGGAAAGTGAAATCAATTTGGGAAGAGCATTGAGTTGTATTAAGCATTATTAATTCAACTCGGGATGTGATAGGAATGTTTCTATTGGTTTTCAATGGTTGTTTCGTTGTTGACTGTGGTTAGTTTCAAGAGACTGCCAGATTCAGGACGAGATGAACCGCCAACCCATTTGTACAATTGTTCGGCAACCCAAGTCATGCTGGTCCACCTTAAAGAATTTTTTGCCTTTGAATCAGAGTATATCAAAAGCATACGTTGCGAAATCAGCCTTTGGCATCCATTTACGATTCATGGGTGTGTCGAGAGTAACTGGAAGAAGGGCGAATACTGTAGTATCTTTTGGCAACCCAGATCCATTAGCACTCAATGACTTTACAAGCTGATGTACTGCTGCTTTAGCCATTCCGTACCCAATCATTCCTGGTGTGCCAGCGACAGCCTAATACAAAATTAAACTGTGTTCTAGTTTCAACTTCTTACTGGAGCGGCTCCCGTCAACTGGAGTACACCACCTTCCTTCAAATGCTTAGCAGCAATTCTAGCTGCAATTGAGCTGCTCCAAACAGATTGCTTCCACATTAAATCACTGTTCTAATGTATGATTCTTATAACTTTGGTTCAAGAACTTTGATGGCAAACTTTAATAAAATCCTCATTAGCAGCATCTCCTCCAGCCCATCCACCGGCTACGCAGAATATTCCATCAACTTGTCCATTTACTGCAGCCCCAACTCTATAATACAAGATGGTTTTTTGAAATGATCCAATGTACGCACTTTTCCAGAATAGCCTTCTCTTGTTCTACCCAGGTTGCCTCACTGTTGACTTGAACGTTAACATCGGCTTGATCATTAGCACTGATATCAATGCTGAGAGTCCACTGGAATTAAATAAGAGGGTTAGTCACAGATGTTTACTCTCACGAAATTTTGTTTCTTGAAGAATTCTAGGATTGTGGATCCAAGAGCTCCTTTACCACCGTAGACAATAACTTTTCCAGCAGACATTTTCGTTCTGAAATATTTAAGTTCACTGAATATCTTCAAAAACAAAAAGAAAAAAGAGAGAGGTCTGTGAAAGCAACCATCCGTTATGTCTTAATTGGTTAAAAGAAAGTGCAACACTTTCGTGTTCATGAGAATAGACATGGCGGATTTGAAAAAATCTCAACTTGAATTACATCGGACTTTGGAGTAGAATTGTAAGCGATAGAATAATAAATCCTATAGGGAGGGGGTAAAGAATTTGAATAAGCAATTGAGAACATTGCCTTAGTATAGGTTTCAGCATTACACCGGAACCTTAATTGCTACCACTAGATCGATGATGTAAAGGAGGAAGGTACAAGGCCATAGCTCAGGCGGACCGAATTGGGTAAAACCTATATCAATAAAAGAACCACTCGAAAACACAATCAATATACAATCTCTCCAATTAGTGATAAAATCACTGGGAAAAGAAGATGACATTGAAACAAATAATGTTGTTCTGGTCGACAAATTCCACAGTTAATAGTTTTGGCTATCAAGTATGAGAAACTTGTTTATTCTGAAGAGAAGTGAGTGCGGCTCAGGGCATGGAAAGGTAAAAGAAGAATCGTTCCGAATTATTTTTAATTGAAAATAGGGCCAGCCAGGAATGCAACCGTCTCACGCACTAGTTGTGATCTAAAATGAAAACTATTACCGAGAAATCGTGGCATTATGCTAATTTACCGGGTACGTAACCATTGGCCCCTAAGGTGATTTCAATAACTCTATGGGATCAGACTCTATTCTGAACCCTTCATGAAGTACTTAAGTTTCTGATTCTCGAAAAAAAATTGAAAATCAATTTTCCTTTATCTTTACTAGTATACTCTGAGTATGCTGGGTTTTCGAATTCTTGAAAAGAAAGGCTGTGACGGTCTCCGTGGGGCACATTTTCAGTTACACGTCAATTTTTTATTTTATTAGATAAGTTAGGTTTGGGGCAAAATGAAATGCCATTATGAATTATTGGAAGTTGCTCGTGATGCCGATGATGATGTTATCAAGAAGAGCTACAGGTTAGTGATTTTAATAGACGTTAAGTTATATCCACTCCTAGAAAGCTAGCATTGAAATGGCATCCTGACAAAAATCCAGATAATATTGAAGAAACTACAAAATATTTTGCTCTTTTACAAAATGCATATGAAGTATTAAGTGATCCTCATGAAAGAGCGTTTTACGACAAACATAGGGAGAATATCCTGAAAGGAGGTATTTCAAACTATTTCAAGCTAATCGTAGTTCTGTTCGTTTAGGTTTCGAAGAGGATTATAAGGATGAAGCTTTAGATCTGTTTCAATATTTTTCTAGTTCATGTTATAGAGGTTTTACGGGTGACAAAGTCAGTCGGAGTCTTCCCTAATCAGTTCATAAGTCATACTGTTTCAGGGATTCTATTCTGTATATGGACATGTGTTTGAAGTTTTATCGAACGAAGATTATGATTTCGTAGATGACCCAGCCGTGCGATATCCCCAGTTCGGCCAAGCGGATAGTGATTATGACACGGTAGATATTCCAAATTGAATATTTTTTATTTGCCTATGTCAGGTTGTGGGACCTTTCTACGGGTTTTGGACCTCTTTTAATACGGCACGTTCTTTCGTTTGGCTAGATAAGTATGATGTGCGCGACGGTGAGAACCGAGCTCATGTCAGAGCAATTGAAGCAGAGAATAAGAAGTACAGGGATGCTGGTAAAGCTGAGAGAAATGATCAGATCAGAGTAAGTACCAGCACTAAGCGAGAATAAAAAGTGTTTTCTAGGAGTTGGTGCGGTTCATTCGAAAACGTGATCCTAGGATTAAAGCGTATAGAGAATTACTTGAACTTAGGCAAATTGAAGCGAAAAAAAAGCAGGAGGAGCATCGGTTGAAACAAATACAGAAGAATAAAGAGTGAGATCGGCTTCAGATCAGTTTTGAAACTAATATTTTCAGACGGATGCAGGCTTTCGAAGAAGATGAAGCTGCGAAAGCTGCCCACCGTGCTCAGTTGGAAGAAATTATGGCTGATCTGGAAGGGTCTTCTTGCAACTCCGTAAGTAATGCACCTAGTTCAGCTTTAAAGTTTTAAGTTTTCTAGGATTCTGAGAATGATGGAGAATTGCTACCTCATTGTGTTGTTTGTAACAAAAGCTTCAAAACCGAGTTAGACAGTTCACCTTATTTGTGTGTATAAGCAATGTTCATTTCTAGGAATGCTCTTACCAATCACATGACATCTAAGCAGCACAAGAAGCAACTACAAGAATTGAAAAAGCACATGAAGGAAGAAGATGCAGCTCTGTTCGGTAGTGTTCATTCCCAAGCTCTCATTTGAACTACTATTTAGAAACTGCCTCTGCTGAACCCGAAGCTAAAACAGAAAAGGCTTCTGAGCAAAGTAAGAAGTCTAAACGTAGGGCCAAGAAGAAAAATAGAGCTTGGGACGACAACTCTGACGAATCAGAAAAGTATATTATCGCTAGTGTACCCATCTATTTTATTACGAACAGGGAAGAAGTGAAACAAGACGAAAAAGTCGAGGAAGTACAGAGTGAACTAGCAAATCTTGATTTGGGAGAAGCAAAACCAGAAGAGACGGAGGTTGTAGAAGACGAAAATCCGAAGGAAAAAACGAAAAAACGGAGAAGGGGTGAGTTGCTGATTATTATCATCTTTCTTTTTTGTTCGCTATCGAAGTGTAGCTTGTCTTCTCAAAGATAGTTCATTCGATGGAGGATAAGAGAATGAGATTCGTGAAAGAAGTAAAAAAAAATTAATTTCGTTTAGCAGCCAAAAAACCAGCAGGAGCTGTTGTAGAAGTTCCTCCACCTGACGACCTAGAGCCAGAAATAGATACCCAACCGAAAACGGCAAGCTGTGATAAATGCAAAGAATTTTTCGAGAGCCGGTGAATATTCCTTTGAATTTCTAGTTAATCTCAATGTTATAGGTCGAGGTTATTCGCCCACCTTAAAGAGACCGGTCATGCCACATTGATAGACTCTGCTCCAATGACAAATGGCAAAAAACAGAAAAAAGGAAAAAGAAAATAATGGTTATCCCAGATCTTGATTGTTGATTTTCATAAATTTTATTCAATCTTTTTCTAAGAATTGATTATTTAATTACAAATTTTACAAATTAGCTTGTAGCTTAAACCTTATGCTAGTGTCATGGACTCCGTTCGCAAAGCAATACTTGAGGCTCGGATTTCATCCATAACGAGCTGCTCATTTACTTCTTGATCTTTAGGTAGAGTTTCCTTAGCAAATTCTTGTATGTCACCTAAATGAGTAATATAAGGTTAGTGATATGGGCAGTTAAATACCCGATCCATATATTAAGAATTGAATTCCAGAAATTGTACAAAGTACAGCGCACACTAAGAGGACACTATTCCATTCCGAAGGACTTCCCTAAAACTCTACTTTACCGATGTACTAAATATCAACCAACTGTTTTGAGAAGCTCCCCTACTACAATAGGTGTAGTTATAGCTGATAGAGTAGATAAACTGCAACTGATTGACGATAGTGTAGGTGTGAATCGAGGCGCTAAGGATAGTAGTGATGTGTATGCTCCGCTAAACCCAACCATGATAATGAACTTTAATCAAGATTATTACCTGGTATGTGCTCCAAGGAACATATTAGCAAAGCAGAAGAGGATCAATGCAAGAATCTTACGATCACTGTTAACGAACAAAACAGCTGTGAATAAAGGTATGGCCACACCAAAAGTTGCTGAAAAGAGATCATGATCTATTTATCTATCAATATCACGTACGATAGCATTGAGACAGCTTAACACCTTGAGTGGGTGTTAGAACACCAGTCTGTTTCAGTCTGTCTACTGTGAATCCCCAAAATAGTTTGAAGCAGAAGTTGAAAAAGGTTGGGAGTGCAGCATATAATCCGTTCTATAATCAGACAGGTGTTAACCGGTGCAATGAGAAAGCTTTACCATCACAACACTCAATAGTAATACGTCCTTGTTGTACATTGGTAAGTAAGTCATCATTAATGGGGCGATTACAGAAATAACGTATGTGGCAAACAAGTGTGAAAGATAGGCTGGGTTTGTGAATATAGCTTTCCATGGTACCGGCACATTCCTCTTAAGACACGAGTTTTATCGATAGACACAGTGTATGAGTCTTACTTTGGACAGGGCTGTGATTTTCGCAACAGTTGTGTCTGACAAATAACTTCTTTCAAGGTTTGACATCACTTTGCAATCATCCGGGTGGTTTGCCGAGAAGATGAGCCAAAGAATACACCAGGAATATCCCATGATAGCTGTAAATGGTTTTCATCAGTAGAGAATATATTACCAGTCCTTTGGAGCAACCGGTTAACTAAGAGCAACATTTAAAAATGAGAATTACACGTGACGTTGGCTCACGTGGAATTTCACGTAACCTAGGTTATTATGAAGAATTACTTATTTCTCACGTAACGTGTACCCAGTTACGTGAATTCCACGTAACGTATTGTGTTGCGGAAGATCACTACTTTTTCACGTAACGTGTACTTACGTGTATTTCATGTTCTGTGAACATAACCGTACCTGAGAAATAGAAAACTGCAGACCAACCAAATGGTGAAGAACACAAGGAAGCGTTGATGGGATTACCGGTAAACATTGCCAATTGGTTTCCTTAAGTTTTGGTACATATTTTCAGGATTTAGAATACAATCACCATACCGGTAGTGAATAAAGCAACTGCAGTACTTCTCTCCACCGCCGGGTACCAGTTTGAAGCGATGGTGTTCACGGAAGGATATATGAATGGCTAAACGGAAACCGTTTTCTGACTCATGGTATGATTACCTCTGTTAGTCCGATAGCGAAACGAGCTGCGAACACAGCTCTCGCTCCAAAGTTCTTCGCAAGAGTGGGGATCAAAAGATTCACAGAAGCCTAAAATTAATCGTTAATTTTGATATGTAGAGCTCCGCCAGTTTGTTTTGTTTAATACTCTTGGTGTGAAAAGGGGTGATAAGAAAGAGAAACTTTGATATTCACAGATAAGAAGCGTGCTTCCTTACGTAGACAAACAATGAGCATATGATTTCCGTAGAAAGTTATTTTTATCAATGTCTCACCTTCACAGCTAAACAGAAGGCAAACATGTGTTTAGGAGAGGCTCTTTGTACCAAAAAGATTGCAGGAAGCATACTAACTGGACCTCCCCAATAGACAGCCGACATTAACCAATTCTGGGTAGCTCCGTCCCAAACAAAGGTTCCCTACATTGTTATGCGGTTGAATATCGTTATGAAGGTAACATACGCCATAGTCTACAATACGCTTATCACTTAGATTCTGAGTGCCATTGTTTATTTCAGTTTCATTATCAAATCTGGAATAAGAAGTATGGTATGTATCCGGTTGATAGTTCGCACCTTAATGATACTTGGTTCATCTGTTCTTGCTTGACGGCTGTGTAGTTCACCATGCAAGTCATAGTAAGTGAAAAGTTGGTATTCATATAATTAGAGTTGTAGAGACCGAAGCCAATGAGCATTATGAGATGAAGCCGCCGAGACCGATAGTGTAGAAGTGCTGAAATGAGTAAAGCTTTGACTCCAAGAATCAAATGTAGTTGTTGTTGTAAGTTTTATTTTTTGTATGAAAGGGCAATTCAAAACTATTCGACGTATTCCGTGATTAGGCTCATAGTACCGTTGACCAACGCCTATACAACGGTTTTATGGGTTTCATAATCAAACCAAACGTTTTTATTTTTTTTCAGGCTCTTCGTCATCATTAGAAACGGAAAAAACGCGAAACAGCTGATATATCAGTTTCATTTCCAGTGATAAGATTGTGAAAGTTATTGGAACTGATGAAATATGTAACTGTCTGTTACGATCCCAGCTGGATTACGTGCTAGGAGAAGAGAGGAAGTTAGTTTGATAAGCCTACTCCCTAAGTGAAAGTAATTGAATTGACAGTCATGACAGACAAACTGAATCAAAATGTCCATTAATGTTTTATCGCTGCTGCTAACTCTACTTAATTAACCAGAAATACACGGTTCGTACAGGTGGGCTGCGGTGTTCATAGAACTCTTCTAAACGCATTCCATTGTAGGTGGCATACACATAGCATCTCTTCTCTCTTTACGAGTTGAGAGAGCGCAAAATCATCACAAGAATATAATTTTATTATCAGCTGGCTACGTGCGGGACGCGACTACTATACTCGTATTAAGAATACAAACTTACGTGCTCGTGGATGAGTTTGGATAGGCTGTTCTTTCTTGAGCGACGGCATCATTTACCACAGATGCGAATAACGTATACTATGAAGAACATTAAAAATTTGTAAGATAAGAAGAGAGGCAAAACGAAGATTTAGATAAGGCGAATGAAGTCCAGAGGTGTGCAAAGGAGAAAGGAAAACGAAGAGGAAAATATAAGAGCGAAAAGTAGAGAAGTGAAAGAAGAGCAGATAGATGAAGAACACAGTTTGCTACGGAAGAATTGAAGGATCACCCTCGTGCTGGTGCTTCTCTCAAATAACTCGGTTATCTAAGACATTGCCTTATAAGACATCCTTGTCTCCCTTGAGTCAAACCCTTAATTGGTTAATATACAATAAGTGACGTTGAAGTTCAAAGATCTCTTCTGACAGGTATGATTTAGATATCATGAAGACTTATCAGTTTGTGCTGGATTAATGAGCCTCTTATCACAGATTAAGCTACTGCAAGAAGATGACACAAGTTTTCATAACTTTTCACAATTATACATCAATTGGTTCCTTTTCATAACAGTCGAAAAAAACATACTTTATTCATAGACAGGCATTATTTCAAAAATTATCAGGATTATTTAGGATTCGTCACCACTTGAACGATCTGGCATTTCAATTCTATCAGCCATTACTATTCCAGTTGGAGTCTTAGCATCGACACGAAGAGCATCGGGATCCAATGCTTCCATAGCTTCTAAGGTCTCCAAATAAGGAGAAACAACATCCCAAATCTTGAACCAATTGTCATTGAGAGGCAATAAAAGAATGCAACTACCTTATTTTCTCTCACTAATTGCAGAACTGCGTCAACTTCAGGTTGCATAAAACGGTCTTCAGTGATAGCTGGACTAACCGATCGAACAAGCTCGTAAACCTATAACAAGCCTATCATTTATACGACGACGTTAACCAATTGAACCTTATTCAGGGGGGCCGTTGATACTAATGGCTTCAGAAACTCTATACCTTGACAGGCTGCAAGCAACTCCATTGCAAGAACTGCAAAATTTGTTATCAACTCGTCAAAAAAAAAGATTCACCTGCTTCTACATGTTCTACAACGGTAAGTGCTTTACGAGCAGCAAAACCTCCCATACTGACATGATCTTCTTGGTTGCAGGAAGTGGGAATACTATCGGCGGATGATGGATGACAAAGTACTTTGTTCTCAGATACTTCAAATGCAGTACTGATCGATGTAACAGTCAAAGTGTCTTACCTAAACTAGCAGCACAGCACTGCACAATCATGAATCCAGAGTTTAAACCACCATCAGGAGTGAGGAAAGTTGGTAAACCACTAAGCTCTTTGTTCACTAAGCGTTCCAAACGACGCTCGCTCATTTGAGCTAGCTCATTGACAGCAATGGCTAGGTAATCCAGAACCTATAAACATCATAAATAAAGTCGAGATAGGCGGCTTACTTTAGCTGGATACTCTCCGTGGAAATTTCCTCCTGATATGATCTCTTCCCGATCAGCGAAAACTAATGGGTTGTCCGTTGCCGAATTCATTTCGGTGAGTAGAACATTGTAAGCGAATTCAATGGTCTCGTGAACGATGCCATGAACTTGAGGAACACATCGTAGTGTGTAAGCATCTTGTACTTTTCCACAGTTATGATGTGATTCTGAAAACGAATAAAAAGTGCTATTAGAGCGTTAATTACCTGCTATTTGTGAAGGATTAGCGTCTGAGTGTAAAAGAGATCGTAAACGGAGAGCTGACAAATTTTGACCTTTGTGTGGACGAATGCGATGAATGTCTGAAAAGTATAACAGGTTACTATACTGTACTTTTTAATTTTTCAAATTTCAGCGTTAGCACAACCGTCTCTCACGTAAATTTTTTAGAAATGATTTCATCACGCATACGCTTTTACGTGACTTTCACGTGAACGCAGTAATGTAAGCTAATCACGTTTTGACGTAAAGCGTGGCTTTTCTTATCTGTGATGATAACATCATAAATAAAAATAATGATATTCCCTGAGAAAATCAATTTAGTTTTCTCTCGTAACCCAATTATGGAGGATAGAAGATTTTGATAAAAGACTAACCAGGATCAAATGCTCTAGTCGTTCCCTTCAAGACTTCCAAGGATAATGCTGCAATGACATCAGCCTGTTTTGCAATGTTATAAGCTCTCTCAACAGCTGTAAATTAAGGAAAGTCAATGTTTATACTATGTTCCACCATACTGAATGCTCCGAGCGCAGTGACCATCTGTGTTCCATTGATAAGGGCAAGTCCTTCTTTTGGTCCCAAATCTAATGGCTCCAAGTTATTTTTTTTCAGTACTATCGCAGCATCGTCCCATCTGAGATGTAAGTTTTTCAGATCTTCTAACAGTTTGTTTAATACCCAGTTGCTGGACTCCACATCTTTCCTTCTCCGAGTAACCCTAAGGCTAAGTGAGCTAGAGGAGCCAAATCTCCAGAGCAGCCGACGGTTCCCTGTTGTGGAACCCATGATACACAGAAAGCTGTAAATTTAATTGTTTTTTTTATAAAGTTTTCCTATGTCTTCTTGGTTTGATGAACTAACCGTTAAATGCGGCTATCATTTTCTTAATGTTTTCGAAACTGATACCACTGTGTCCTTTAGCCAATACGTTGATTCTGAATTTTCATTAGATGCCATTACGAATTTGTTGACAACCTCAAGGCAAGTAACATTCTCGCTTTGTTGGGACTCAATGGCTGGCCATATCCGGCAGCATGCGATCGAATCAAGTTGAGCTGAAGTTTCCTGGAAAATATCAGGTAATTGCATTCGGTTGTTATTTCATAGGTGGTGCATGCACGTGGCTTTTCAAATTACCTTATTTGGGATGATTCAATTTTCACATTGGAAAATGTGCCAAAACCAGTTGTGACCCCATAAACGACTAAAGAATCATGTTAATGTAATAGGACATTCATGAAGTTACCTTTGTGTTCAGATGCTATTTTCTCGAGGAAAGCTCTGCCCTTTCTGATTCTTTCCTCGGCGTCTAAGGACAACTGGAAGAGAAAATATGAGGTACTAACACATAAAACTGCTTACTTGAATTAGACATTCTCCTTTCTCACAATTCACAAGATCTTCTGGTGTCAAGCTATTACCGTCCAAGACGAGAAGTCTTGTTGGTTTTCCTAAGAAACCATCTTCTTCAGGAAGATTAAATGAGATCCTAGGAGAAAGGAATTTGATCGGTTGAGGAATGAAGGCTCTTACGTCTTTTTCTTGCCCAAACTTTCCAATTGCTTCTTGTTTTCTGCTAATTCTTCTTGACGGCGTTCTTCCTTAGCTTCTTCAGTATCATCCTCGTTGATATCTAGAGTAGAGAGAATGAGTAAGCTACACTTTGTGAATCCCACTGAGCATAATGTAGTCTCCATCCTTTAGTACATCAGAAGCCAAATCTTCAGGATCGAGAAGCGAGTTCCCAATAGTTCTTCGAACCTGGAGGGATGAGATATACTTATATATTCTTAGTTATTATTACTTCTTCGTATGCCCCATCTTTCCTGACTAAGGACGAGCGTAAACGACGCATTTTTTGAATAGTACGACTGGCAACCTGAGAAGAGCAGAGAGTTATCATTGTCAAGTCGGTTTCTTTATTTGAGAGGGGTGTAGGTTCATAGGGTTTGGGTAGAGAGAGAGAGAGAGAGAGAGAGAGGTCTTTCAGTGATTCAGTAATTACCTGGTGAATCGTCTCATCATCGGTACAGGAGATTGTGATGGATTCAGCTCCAATCTGCACTTGAAGACGCATGGTTCGCGAAACTGCTTGTTCTGCTCAGTTATCTGATAATGGAGATAATGGAAATGGAGATAGTATAGTTTGTATTTTCAGTTGTGACTATGATGTGCCTCAACTGATTAAGCAAAATCTAAAAATAAATGGGAGAAAGTGGTAAGGCAAGTCCGCCAAGATCAGCGCTCTGTCTCGACTGAGACTCGGAAATTGCCTTATATAGACACTTGCCGGTGTACGATCGTAAAGATTTCTGCTACCTTTATCGTCGCTATACCTTTCGTCATCACCGTCAACACAGACATCGTTCCGGTTCAGGACCGTTGGCCTCTTCATTCTCAACCTCGTAAAAAGTCATTCAAGACCACATTCGGGAATTATCTTTGTCATGTTTATGTCAGCTGATAGTCTATATAATTTCCTAATATTCGAGGCGCAGTAGTTCCATAAAACAGCCTCAAGTCATAGGGAAAGTTCAACCGTCGCTATCAGATGAAGGTGCAAGAGGAAAAAATAGAAAAAATCGGACGGTGACACTCCGATTATATCTCTTTGTAGGAAAAAGGCTAGTTGAACTAGGAATTGTTTGATATATTTCACGTATGAAGTCGAAACTTCCTCCTGAAGCTTCAGTTCCATGACTAAGGGACTAGCTCTTGGTGCGCTGAATGCAGACGGCACCGAAACTGAAAGGAGCCGATGCTGATCGTATCGGAAATCTTTAAAAATCCCAAGTGTCGCAATGTTTACTAATAAAGATTGTAAAGAACCTTGGGAACTTATGAGTAGGTCAAGAATCTCGCCATTTACGACTTCATGTAAGATCAGTTTGCAGAAGATACTTGAGACAGAGATATGTTGCCAAGAAGGTTTGGAATTCAGTCTTGATAATTCGTTGAATTCTTTTTATGATTCAATGTATTTCCTCCACTCACCACGTGCAGAGGTCAATGATCTCCTGATCTGTCGTTTTTTTATTATTCTTGTTCATTTGTCATCTCTGAACTCGATCATCTTCCTTCCTCGAACAAGCTTTTGCAGAGGGGGCAGACAGAAAGAGAGAAGGAACAGTTTTAGTAAAAATTCTTTAATCTATGATAATCGACAACTTAGATTAATGGTGAAAAGCCGGATAAGTACAGGTGAAACATTCAGCAATAAGAAAAAGGGATTACGAGATCAAAACTTTCGAAAGATTTGGAGAATTTACACACCTAAGAGACTATTAACCGTCTGATTGAATCGAGGGTAAAGTTCTGAGAATCTGGAAAAGCTGAGATAGCTAAGAAGCGTAGATCAGGACCAGTTTTCCTTTACATGTTAATGATGACGACTAACCGAAATTAGTTTTCATAAATTTCAGAAACGAGCGACAGTGTTGTCGTTACTGTTTCAGCAGCAAACAAGACTGATGAGATACGTTTCAGGACTTCGTTCGTCCCGGTCTACTATCTACAGAGTCTTCCGAAAAAGACAGAAGAAAGTTAAAAATAAAAACGCTGCTTCTTCGGAGAGCAGCGTTCGAAAGAAAGATAAGTCGTTGAAAGAGTGATAATTTTGATGAACTCCATTAAAGTTAACTAAGAAGGTTTGAACTGCTTTGTAGAAGTCACATCTATCGCGTAAAACTGGCACGCGAAAGACGAGAGTCAGTTTCTCGTAATCCATACTTGGCTTTCCCTGTTTCTTTAAGTTGACTGCTGTCTAATGATTCGTCTCCCTGCACCACGGCAAAAGCACCTTTTTTGCGTCTGAAGCAATAAGTTAACTAAAAAATTTGCAGAAAGTAATCACCGTTCACAAGTACAACACTCGCAGCGCTCGTTGTTGTCTCCGAAGAAGTCTTCACCATAAAAGCATGTGATCTCTTCTCCCGGATGTAAATCCCTGAGAACCTGGAATGAGGAATGTATGAGTAGAACAATTTGTTTTTGAATTTCCTATCCAAAAACATACCTGTATGTAGGCTGTGCGCCCGTTGGGCACGAATTTGCAAGAAGCCCTACAATCGTGGTTGATGTAAGCGCCAGGCCCAAGCCATAGTTGCGCGCACTTTTTCCTTTAACAACGACCAAGCGTCAACGGATATACAAATAAGGAGATTACCGGGTGCTGTACATAACAGAAAAATCGTTGACTCCCGGTCGTAGTAACTGTTCTTCTTCTTTCTGATCAAGCTCTCTCAGTACACCAAACAAGCGATCAATCTTGTCTCCACGTTGCCTATAATTGAGTCGCAACTTGAAAGAACTCTTGAGCTGAGAGCCAAACCAGAATCTTGTTGATATCAGCTTGGCGCCGACGTTATCTTCTGCTGCATATCTTGTACATTTCTCAATCGTAAACCCAGACTTATGACTGAATACATTTAAAAACCGTAAAATCTGAAATTGCCCATGAGATAATGAAAGCGAATGGCATTTCAAACATGATCACGAAATTCCAGTTGTTTTAGCTGAGGATAAGCAGTTAGAAATGATCGAACTGAACCGATGTTGAGCAAAGAGATAATGGCTTGACAGAAGTCTTGGTTTTTCAAGAAAGATTTCATGATGGCTCCGGCGTCCACATGCTCGCTCTCTTTTAGATAACGGCGCCTGCAAAATGTGATTACGGTGTAAAATTTTGTTTTAACTGGGAAAAAACATACCTCGGAAACATTTTATGGGTTGAAAAAGTTAATGCGACATCTACTGTTAAAGTTGTGGCAAAATCGTCGAAAAAGCATAACTCTTGTGGCGTTAGAGAGTGATCGCATGGAGGGATTTCCTTCATTGATTCTACTAAGTTTTCAAGAGTTATTGGACTCGGGACTTCTACATCATTTCTTCTATTATACATACTAGATGAGTGCATCTGAAAAAAATGAAGTCGATGTAAGATTTAAGCTCAGAAACAGAAGATTACTTAAAAGGAATAGCTCACATGAGCCAATCTAATTAATTCAGCTTTCGTACGCATGAACGCGTCAGCATAAAGATGCACTTGTACTGCGTACACATTTCTGAGTAAGCGTCTGGAAGTTCAAATTTTTGTCATTTTTTGTTCACTCATTAAAGAATTCCATATCGTTTTGTATTGCTGTAAAGCTTCTGTATATACTCCTGAACCCAGGCTTCCTAGTAAGAATTGTTTTTTGCAGACTGTAGGCGATAATGGATTATGATGTCATAGCTAATCAACCAGTTGTCATCGATAACGGATCTGGAGTGATCAAAGCAGGATTCGCTGGTGATCAATCTCCAAAAGTAAAGTTTGCCAATTATGTTGGACGACCGAAACACTCTCGTGTTATGGCTGGAGCCTTAGAAGGAGATTTATTCATCGGTAAAGATGATGTAGTACGACTGAGTCATATGTCTGAATTTAGGTCCCAAAGCCGAAGAGTACAGGGGTCTGTTATCCATCAAGTATCCGATGGAACATGGGATTGTCACAGACTGGAATGATATGGAAAGAGTATGGCAATATGTTTACAGCCAAGAACAACTCCATGTAAGCTTCTTTGAGAAAATCTTATCTTAAATCTCTCACAGGTGTTCCCGGAAGAGCATCCCGTTCTCTTGACCGAAGCTCCTCTGAACCCAATGAAGCACAAAGAGAAGGTAAGGTATAAATTGAATTTTTAAACTCAATGTTATTCTGAAGGCTGCTGAGATATTCTTTGAATCATTCAATGCTCCTGCTCTGCATATCCAAATGCAAGCTGTCCTAGCCCTTTACTCGACAGGTGAGAGCTAGAGTTCAGGAGCTAAGCTCATTCTGTTTTGCAGGAAGAACCACAGGTGTTGTGTTAGATTCTGGAGATGGAGTCACTCATGTTGTTCCTATTTTTGAGGGATTCGCCATGCAACACGGGTAATCGAAGGCTCTTTCTATGCACCCTGCTTATATCTGGTTTAGAATCGAGAGGATGGATGTTGCCGGAAGAGATGTTACTCGTTGGTTAAGATTACTCCTTAGAAAAGAAGGAACAGACTTACATCGTACGAGTGAATTTGAGATTGTTCGTGAAATCAAAGAAAAAGCTTGTTATTTGACTACTAATGCCGCCAAAGAAGAGTCAACAGCCAATGAAAAAGTTAGTTCTCTCTCATCTCTCGTGTCTCATATTAGCTTTTAAGATTGTATATTCCATGCCGGATGGCTCTAGGCTTGATATCGGAGCAGCCCGATTCCGCGCTCCTGAAGTTCTTTTCCGCCCTGACCTCATTGGAGAGGAATGGCCAGGAATGGCACATCTTATTGTCGATTCTATTAGAGTATATCCTTGCACATGTGATCCTCGGATTCATTTCTCTTTTTTTTAGAAATGTGATATGGATCTTAGAAAAACCTTGTATGGAAACATTGTTCTCAGCGGAGGGTCAACCATGTTCGCTGGATTTGGTGACCGATTGCTTTCAGAGGTAACAGGATTAATGATAAGATGTTCCTAATAACTCACTTTAGGTTAGAAAGCTGGCTCCACAGGATGCTAAGATAAGAATCTCTGCTCCCCAGGTAAGTAATTTGACTATAGTGCCGCGTTGAATCATAGATCTCTAGGAACGCATCTATTCCACATGGATTGGAGGCTCTATTTTGGCTTCGTTAGACACTTTCCGTAAGATGTGGGTGAGCAAAAAAGAATATGAGGAGGAGGGTAAGAAGATCTTGCACAAGAAGTTCTTCTAAAACGCATGATAATTGCTATGCTGGTGTTAAACAATTGATAATAGGTTGTGTATTCTCCATCCCGTTGATTAATCCTTTACCAAAAACAGTCATGCGGACCGTTCAAATTAATATCTTCCGAGTTACTCGGCAACTTTTTTATTACAGTCTGTTAACCTAAAACTTTACTCATAGCTTTTCTTCTTGTGCACTCAAGTCAATTATCATCACGCTCATGTAGTCGTGGAAGCTAGATGCGTCTTGTTAAACTCCTTAAAAGCCGTTGCATCTCGACATAATTATTTATTGTTTCAACATGAAGGAATTGTATTTATTCTGGCCTGTTTCAATCGAAATTCAGCTTTGTCATAAATCTATAATCAATCTGTTTTCCTATTTTGGGCTTGACCTTTCACACTATTTCTGTAGCCGTGTGTCGGTGTGTTAAGACGAATCATGCGTTTTCTTGTTACCAGTCATTCAGATAATCAAGAAGTTCAATGCCGTTTCACGAGAATTGTCATCGCTAGGGTCAGCCCATTCAAAGACCGATGATGCCATTAATGGTCATTGCGAATCTGGCACAGCGGCTTCGCCGTTCTTCTGTAGAATGTCGTTTCAATGTATACTTGTAAAAGTGTTCGTTCGCTTCTTGTCAGTTCCCTTTTTTAGTTTTATGAGATACTTCTTGCAGATGCTCTTCAAGTATCTTCTGTTTCTCTGTCTCGTCTCGTTCGTGAATGGAATGATCGAAGGAACGGAAGAGTCGTATAAACCGGAAAGGTAATCATTATCTTTTATCTCACATTATTTTTAATAATTAGATATGCTACTGTCGGATACCCTGTCTTGGTTGATGGCTTCGCCGTGGACGTTCAACAGAGAAGTGATGGCACTGATGAGATAGAGGAACTGCCAGTACCTTCCTTGGCCCATATATATCGTGGAAGATTGTACATATAATTTTTCTTTTTTTTATCAAATGGTTAATATGTAAATAAAAATTTATTTTTGCTCTTTCCAGCCGACGAGCTATTCAAGACCCCATTGCCGATTTTCTAGATGAAAAAGCGGCGAGCGATGTTTTCAAAGATGTCAGTTTAAGCTGGCACGTCCTTTGAGTCTCTTATTCTTCAGATTCATCCTCCAGCACCTCCAAAATTCTCCGATTTGCAAAACAATCCTAACTTCGACTCAGACTCAGACTTCTTGGTAACTTCCATTTTCATCCAATTCAACTTTCTCCTTTCCAGTTCGATGATAGAATTACCGTTCGACCCTCAGTTCCAACTTCTACAGCTATGCCCCAAGGACCACCGTAAGTTAAAGTTTGTTAAAACCATAATCAAAACTTGATAAACTTTTGATTCGACCGCGATCGATTGTTTGCCTGTCCAGCATTCTCCTGTCATTTTACTGTAAATCATTTCTGACAAATTACTTGAAATGCTCTTGAACTTTTCTGCCCTATCGTCACTCTGATAAGGTTGTAAAGAAAAACGCCAAAAATACTTTTAAACCCAAATCTTTGAAAGTTACCTTTCAATTTCCTAATTAGTTCATCGAAGTCATTTGAACAAAGAACTTTCGACTCTCTCGAATTTTTTTATTGAATAACAAGAGAGAATATTACCCAAACTCTTGAATTGTAAATAATAACCTTCGAAAAAGATTCGTGAAATGATATCACTTCTATTAATAGTAGCGTTTCGAGAAAACTAGAGCTAATTCCACGTGAGGTAGGTGTCACGTAAGCCACGTGAGTCACGTGAAATGTTTTTTATTTCACTGTCTCGGCAAGTACTGACCGGTTGCATTCTAACTTACAGTCGTCAATCAAAAAACAACTAACACGCGTTTACGTGTTGTAATTAATTGATTGATTGATTAGAATACATGATATTAGAATAAATTCATCGTTTCAGGCCAACTTCTCCGAATTCAAACACTGGGCGAGAAATGAAGCCGTTTGATTTCAATGTTGATCCAGATTTTCCCGTGAATGCTCCTAGGTTTCGACGCGTTTTCTCCAGCTGAGAGTATATATTTTTTAGAGCTCGGGGCTTGGTAAACATACCTGAAGGATGGAACAACGACAAAACCGTTGATCAGGAATTCCGGCAAGGATTTAGATGGAATTTCGTATGTAATGGTAATCTGTTATTGTACTTACAAGAACTTCCAGAATAACTTACCTGCACAAAGTCCTGCGAGAACATTCGATATAGGACTGGCCGGACGATCACTCGATCAAAGCTCAGTACAACAGGCTAGTTAACATCTTATATTTGCTTTTCATGAAACACAGCCCTAAATAAAGCTTGGAACTTTTTCAGGGACTGGCAGTTTTTTCTAGGCAATAAACCCCCGAGTCCTGAAAACCACAACGATCTAGTCTGCCATATCAATCTCTTGGAGGAATTGTACAATATAATTTCCATGTTTTCAGTAATTTTGATAGTCGATTCTTTTAGAAACAACATTATTAATAAATATGCCATTAGTACGTGTATATTATTCATTTTCATCGAGGTTTTAGCCTTTTCAAAGATATATAACTTTAGCCTTATTCTATGAAAAGTAGCTCCTACAACCCAGCCTTACTACCCTAAGCCTTGAAAAAATTCAGCCTAAGCCTTATGAATATCTAGCCTAAGCCTCATATTCTTGCCTAAGACTTTTTAAAGAAGTCTAACCTTACTTTAAGAAGAAAACCTAAGCCTTTCTCCTACAAAAACCAAGATCATGCGCAAACGGCAAAAGGGGCGGAGCCGGGGGGGATAACGCATAAGAGATTTAAATTTACCTTTGCACTATTTTGCAGATATCCATCTTATTACGGATGTAGAAATTAATTCTTCCATTCCAGGACTTGCAAAAGCTAAAAGCTTCGAGGGGTATACAACAAACAGATGAAATAATAAGAACTTAAGGGTTTGCACTAGGTTATTAAACATTTGATATGTTTCTTCAGGAAAATAGTCGTTCGATGGTTTTTTCAACACACAGAACGGTTTTGCATTCCAACAATAAAAAACTCCCCCATCAATTAATGTATTTTCTTCCAGGATTGTATGGGGTCTATTCAGAGCTTGTCGAAATTACTTGGTGCCAAATATGAAATTGTAGGTAATATTTTGTGGTTCTGGCGGAATTCATTTTTTTGTTATAGCTTCGAACTCCATCACATTTCGAGAGCATTATTTGCTGTAACACTTAATCCAAATAACTGATTACGTTGTTCGGATATCTTCAGATAACTTGTACTGCTTGAAGTTTTCCCAGCACTAATAATATTTTTCCTGACAAGCTGTAGATGAACACATTCCTTCTGCATTGTCTTAGTCTTCTTCTCATCATGGTTCGTTCCGGATTAGTTTTGTAAAAGTATATTAATTCCAGAATATTCCACTCAATGGGAAATAGTAAACCTAGCCAAACTATTCTTGATCCACCGAACGTAAATAGTCCAAAAATGTCGCTTTGCTGGCTCGTAGACATGTTCTGGCTGACTATCGAAAACATCGAATGCAACAACAAAATTTCAAGCGAACTTCTGCACTTCTGCAGACACAACAACAGCAACAACAACAACAACGAACGACGACAGCAAAAGCAACAGGTAATGTTTGTTCGAAAGTCCTCTTTCCACTTGATGTTTTTCTTCAAACAATCAGTCAACAACAAGGGCAATAGGTTCAACTCAGGCGGATGTTTTTTTTTCAGGGCAACTCCAGCCTCTGTGTATACAAGTTCTTCGTTCCTCCTGGATTAACTTATTCAGATCCATAAACTGCTACCGTATCTAGTGATCTCAGGCGTGGCCGATGCCATACAGCTGCACAGCTGGTTCTCTGTTTCTCTGCTAATACTGAAGCAGTTCATGCCTTTCCGCGGACATCCAGGCTTCTACAGTGACAATACCTGCTGTGAACTCTCGAAATTGTCGTCAGGGATGAACCGCCGTGAGTTTCGATATGTTTACTATTTTGTTTGTATGTATGCAACTCCTCCATGTGCCAGGGTGCAGACTGGCACCGCGAACGCCGTTTTCACTTCTTCCTTTGACTGTCTTCTCTCTCGCTCGCTCTCAAACGAATAGGCTGTTGGGACAGCAGCAGCCCTGTCCTTCCCTCCCCCAGGCCGCTTGCCCCTCTTTCATCTCTTAGTCTATTCTCTCCAACACTCTATCGTTGTTCGTTCGTGTTTGTTGAGGGAGCCGCCTCGCAACCGCTCGCGCTGTGTCCTTTCTTTCAGGACATAGTAAGTACCAGCCAGCCGCATTGCATGTCTAGCTGTCTCATAGCGATTCCATACTAAACTTGTTCTCTGGTTGAACCTTCACGCCGTCGGCTGTCTCTCACTCTCATTGCTTCTCTAGAAGCCTTCCAACGTACTCTCTGTGTGGAATCTCTCTGAATTTCAGTTGGTGGGCTTCGTTTTCCGATTTCAAGGCAGACACGCAGAAACTTCGTGCTGTCTGACTATCAGCTCCTCCCAGCCAACCATTTGTTGGCCGTTTAGAACGCTGTCCATATTTTGCATCAGCAGCATAGTCTCCCGGCGTGGGACATGATTCGTCTCAAGTAAAGCTTATCTACCTCCTTTTACCTCCAACTACCTCAACTCATCTACCTCATTTGCTGTCCTTTGTGGATTAAGCAGGTTTTCGTTTTTTTCCTGTACAAATATCGTCCTTAGGAACTTATTCGTATATCTTCATTTTCTTTTGCTTGTAGCTGGTACTCTTTCTACATTTTGCTGTATCTATTGAATTATTTTTGACTACCTCTACTTATTCGCCTCTATTCGAGATCTCCGTTTTTTAATTTTATGAGCTCTAGTGGAATTCCTATTGATTCAACCAAGCGAAATCGGAAATCTTCCGAACCTAACAGAATTGTCTTGAGTCCCATTCAATCACCTTCTATAATGAATTCTAATAGTTCTCCTTTTTCTTCTCTTGGAGATATTTCATTGGCTCAGTTGCAAGCTGCCATTAACGGAGCCACAGCTTCTAGTGGAGCTGCTCAGACTACGGATCAAACCATGATCTTTAACCTGGCCAGCGCTATTGCTATGAACACTTTTTTGGCCATGCCGAATCCTAACAATCCCATGATTGCAAATGTTGCGAAAATGATAATCAGTTTGAATGTGCTGAACCAGCAGCAAAGTGAATTATTAGGAGGAAACAGTCGACCAGACCTTTCTCAATTAGGTCTATCGCCTATGCTTCTCCAACAGTACGCTTCACTTATGGGTCGAGGGCAAGCTCAACAGAATGTACAAGCTTCGCAAGCAATAGCCAATTCGCAAAATTCATCTCTTTCTTCGTTTCAACAGCCGTTGAAGAATTCGTCAGAAAATCAACGCAAAAGATCGCTCGGGAACGAGCACACGGCTCTGGATAACAACGCCAAGCGGATTTTTGGCGATACAGGCAACGCAACAATGGATAATCAGCCTGCCGTGCCATTATCCAAAGATGACATTGAGAACTCTTTGATACGGATTTTGAACGAGGAAATCTATAATATCTACGATGAAACAATGAAGAGTGAAGCACAAGATCAACAGTTGTCTCCAGGACAACTAACGCTGATCTCGGAAAGTCGAGCCAGTTCCAGCTCAGATAATAAGGGTGCATGCCGGCCATCGCCCAACGAGGAAATCCCCATAGAATCCATGAACCTTTTCGAAATACTCGAACTGCTGGCCAGTGACGTCTCATCGGATATGGGTTCTACCGGTTCTGCTTTCCGGAAAGTTTCAAGTAAATCTGAAATTGGATCTACTGCCAGTAGTTCTTCGGAATCGTCACAATGGGGAAACACAATTTCGCCACCAAACAGCTCACCTCAATCTATTGCTGACTTGTCTCCTTTGTCTAATGATACACAAGCCCTCATTCAAGAAGTTGTGCTCAATCTCAAAAGTTCCATCGAAGCTGAGAAAGAGGTTTGTTCTTGTTCATATGTAGTTTTTTTGTTCCACAATGCCCCCAACAATTCTTTTTCTGTCCTTTATTGGCCTTGGTTTGTTTACTGCTTCCACGTTGGTTGAGAGCGCATTGCGATTTTATCTGTTCAGCTGAATTTGCGAAAAAGTATCCTTTGAGAACGCTTGAGAGAAGAAAGTTTTTCAATTGACATCATAACCTATAAGCCTTAACCAGAAGGAAAATTCATATTTTATTTTCAGTCTCAATTTCCTGCATTATGGCGAGGCCAAATACTCATGAAGCACAATGCGACACTTGTTCAAATGCATCTTGTTCAAGGAAGCAAAGACTTCCTCACAGACTGTCTTGGAGAATTGGCAGATCAAACCATGATTAGGAGTACTACAAGCAAACCTAGCATGAGGATCAATCAGAGAATGCGTGCTGATAACAATCACGTGCAAAGTAGTTTATTTTTGAATTTCGTCATTTATTTTTTTTACCTTTAGATTTGCTCTTAAAGTTAAATAGTGGGATAGGCTGTGCCTGTCTTTGTCTACCTATTGGCTTTACCCGGGAGGAATGCAACATCAACAACGAAGCGATGAAGACTCAGTTCATGGACTATTTTTCAAACAAAAGTGCTGCTGGCATAGCTAATCTTCCTCGAACTGTAAGTCATGGTACTATCTGCTGTTTTGATTGACATAGTTACAGGACAAGATTCCTGCCAGTTTAGTTTACGTATTCCCTCCCAATGATTTTACGGAGAGTTATATGAAGACGTACTCAGAGAGTCTTTTTGACCGCATTCGTCGAGCCTCCCAGAATGGGGTTGTCCCCTATCTGTTCATCGTGATAGTTCCATCTGACGAACCTGTAGCTACTGCCCAAGCAGACTAGTCAATTCTTGTGTGTACTGTTTGTAGCGGAAAATAAAGTAAAAGGCGAAAGGAGTAGGTTAGTTTGGGACATCGAATTCGTACGGATCTTCCCAAATTTGTATTATACATATTTAAACTTTCTATCTCTATAGCTCTAACAGGTACATTTGTTGTTTTACTTTATTTTTTCCTCGTTTTGTTTGTTATTCTGAGTCGTATGCATGTTTGTCTCGAATATTGGAGCGATAGGGATTCTCTAACGCTCTACTCACTCATTTATCTCGGTCCATTTATAGACTTCCCGATGATATTCATACCTATAATTAACATAGTCTTTGAATCTACTTTAAGCTTTCTCCTCTCTCTCTTCCCACCCTGCTTCCGTATGTAGCAGATCCTGACTCCAACTTTCTCATCGTCTCCCATCTCAAACTTGTTTACTTCTGAACGTATTTTATTGTATAATAAGCGTTTGGTTTTTTGTCTGTCGGCTCTCTTGCCGCATGCTCAGAGATATAAAAATAAATTATAAGATATAATTCAATTTTTGTTTTTTTCCCTTTTCTGGGTCGTTATATTTACTCTTTTCTTCGATGTTTGCTATCGATTAGTGCATTCATGATCGATGTGTGGTGCACTCCCAGCTTATCAGCAGCATTAGTTGAAAGCTTCTCAGGTTTCTAGATAAGGCATTAGGTACTCTCGCTGCGTTGTTTACAATTGACCCTTGAATGAATTCCTCTGATAACGAAGGTTGCAATGGCGAAATAAGACATTGAAATGTCTTTTCTTCGTACTTTCACTTGATGTTTGTTACAAATGCCGTTCGCTTCTTTTTTCTTCTTCGTCCGGGGGGAAATTGTTGCGAATGAATTGACATACGGCCTCTGTATGTCCGTCCGATTGTCTGTTTGTTGGTTAGTTGGTCGACTAGCTTCAGCATGCGGCTAACTTTTCCTTCTTTTCTTCTCTCACTCTGCTTGTAGTTTTGGCCTCTATTCGTTTTCTTTTTCAAATGACATTGAGAGAGAGAGAGAGGCGGATCTATACGTTTTGAAGAAAGGAAAGACCACAAGCCTCTTGTGTGTCTCTTCGAATGCCATGGCATCTTTAGTTTTTTTCTTTTTTTCTGGCTTATTTTCCCCGCTCACTCCACTGCCCATTACACAGAGAAGAAAAAAGGATGTGAAAAGAGAAGCGGAGTAGGGCAAACTGGGGATACATAAGAGAAAAGGGAGAACTGGTGGGATGAAAGAATGTGGAATGATGGAGAGTAAGAAAGGTTGACCAATGACTGGCTTATGAGTCCATAAATGATGATGGTTGAAGTCAAAGAACGCAACAAAAGAATGAAAGAGGAAAAAATTTCTTTGTGCACATGTAACGAAGAACAGTTGTTTAGATGAAAAAGAAAACAAAGTACGACAGCGACGACGACGATAATCCAGATGTCAATTAAGCTTAATTACAAAAAATTCTTGAGAGAATTACTAAAGACTAGTTATGATCACAAGTACTTTAGCTGCGTCATCTTCTTCATCATCTTCTGCGTCGTTGTCTGCTTCTTCTTCTTCTTCTTCAGTCCAAACAACATGCCACTTCGTCTACTAATTCTTTTCCTCCCTTTATTTTTTTGTTTTATGTTCCATCATAGAGGACATCACAGTCGTTTAAGCTTTTCAATGCCCAGCTTATCGGCCAGTGCATCCTGCAACAAACCCCCATAAGACAGGTAATTAGATGCGGAACCTTTATAACTGGAAAAGCCCAGCAAGGCCCATCGTTTTAAAGACAGATGAGAGAAAAAGGTGATACGAACCGCAAATTGTATTTGGTTCGGGTGATAAGGTATTCCTCCAAGACTGGCCACCAGTTCCTCGTGACGTCTCTCCATATCACCAGGGACTTCTACAGCTTTACCATCTTCTACCTGAAGCATATGCATTATAAACTGACAATTGTTTTGGCGGAAGTGTGTGTGCGTATTTCGTGTGAGTATTCGTGTGTTTTCAGCTTGTAAGCCTCAATCCCCTCTGAAGATTTGACCCAAATGTGAAGGTCGACTGTTGCGATGCTGTTGTTACTTCACCACTTCATGGGTTTGAAAAGAAAACGGAGTGAAAAACGAGAGACGGGGATGAGGAAAGTAGAATGAGGGGTTAGGGAATGGGTGGGATACGAGGCGTTTTTCACTTCATCTCGCCTGATCAATCTTCTCTTCATGCTCGTCATCTCATCTTTCTGTCTCTTTTTCTCTAAAAAACAGAATACGTGGAAAACACATTATTATCTATTTCAACTTTCTCCATTTACTGTTTTGGAAGGAAACACAACGTCACTTTCTATTCGCCTATGGCATCGCACTTCGGCAGTGGAAAACAACTGAAGAAAGTCCTGACCAGCTGTTGCAAAACCGTAGTACATGTAAGGGACAACGGCTACTCTTTTGCTACCCAAAACATGTGATGGTTGAAAGAACAAGAAAATCAAGATTATTTTGAAAATTGGCGCTCAATCATCGGAGGGCAGGCAATAGTAGAGACCGCAAAAGGAGATAGAGAGTAGGCTAACAACAAATTTTGGACAGAGAGAGGGGAGACAAAATATGTGTGTTGACTATATGAGAATAATTCCGAATTTTTTTCTCTCAAATTGTTGCGATTCAATGACGACAAGGTCACTATGGGATGTTTGAAAGAGCGTCGTTTCACTCACAGATTCAGGTTGGATTCAGAATCTTCGCTTCCCACTTTGCTTTCAGCAGAACACACATACACACTTGTCATTGAGGGAGCTTCGTCAAAACTTTCTACCAGCTAACAACAATTTTCGTTGAAACATCGAAAATCCAGTCGAATTGTGCTTCCGCTTTATGACGCGTTTCATCTCTCTATCCGTAACTCTTTTGCTCAATTGTCTGTTTCTCGCTACAATCTATCTTTCTCATCCTCATTCTTGATTATTATGCTTTGGCCTAGTTTCAATCAATCTCTGCTAAACTACTAATCTATATACCTGCGGCAAGTTACGCATAGTCGTGAGGAACTCCTCCAATCGTCCAGAGAATCCGGGAGCGAATGCATTAGGATCGATCGCGATGAAGCATTGTCCCTGGAAAAAGAACAAGAGTTAATATCCGCTGATGGCGTTGATGACAAAAATTTTCAAGCGAAATTTTTGAAGCCGGAAAAAGCACCCATGGCCTTTGAGGGATTTCTAATACATCAAGTGGCATTATGAGAACATGTTTTATTAATTGAAGGAGAATTGGAAATAATTAAATCAATGGGTTGTAGGAAGAAGAGCAAACAAGGAACAAGTATGTGAAATCTCCTGCTCATCTGTCATAATAAGGGTGAGAGCCTTTTCAATTATAAGTTCAGAACCTAGAGTCATATCTTATAGGGTATGAGAAAAATCTGTGAAATAGATAAATTTGTGTGTGAATGCTGTGAATCGTTCTCCTCATCCTCCCACACACATTCTATTCAGCCTGTTTCTGATCGAGAAACTGCAAGTTCATATTTGATAGTTGGGGGGGACTATCATGCTTGCGAGATCATGCCATCAAACTATAGCGAAAGATCAGTAGCCCCGATATTGAATTCTAATTGAACTTCAGGTTGCGGAATCGATGTTTCCGAAAATATCGACAGGAAACAGTTTAAGTTCTCTTTCTCTCCTTGCCCTCTCCCTTACCCATTTAGGAGATTGCGATCTCGCGAACGTAGACGATGAAAACCTTGACTTTCGTCATTTGTAATCGTCTTTGATGTTCCAAATTATATCTCTCTTTTCGTTCGATATAATGCTTTCTCATTATGCCATCTAGTTATACATATAGACGTTGCTTTTGCTTCAGCTGTGTTTCCTTTTATGAGCTAGAAGCATGACGACCAGAGGCGTTGACCAAAACCGCCATAGCTAACATTGACAAACCTAGTGTTGCCACGTAGTTATCTTGCTGGGCTATTCGCATATAGACCACATATATATATATATATATATTATATATATATATATATATATATGTGTATGATGCAAGTTATATGAAGAGAGAGTGGGAAAGGCTGGAGAACGGAAGAAGAGACATGTAGAGACTGCTCTATAGCAAGCTCAACAAGGAAGGATTTACGAGAAATCGGCGAAAGATAACGCGCCCAGACACATCAACAACATAATACCGAGGCAGTTAAGTAAATTTGAAGCCGAGCATATCCTAATGGGGATAATGATACATATAGAATAAACGAGAGATCGAAAATCATCCAAATATAAATAAACGGAAATACTAAAAGCCACCACTGATTGGAACAATGGAATAAGAGGGAGGAGGAGGGGGGGATAAATAAAAATTGCGAAAACCATTAAAAAACATACCAAATCTGCGTCTTCGGAAGAGCTCATCCATTTGCGAACATTGGGCCCCCAATGGGCTCCACCGAGAATACCACAGAAGATTTCAACTAATGAGCATAAGCCATATCCTTTATACCCTCCTGAATATGTGTTCTAAGAATTTGAAGGTGAAAAACAATATACCGCTTATTTCAGTTCCACCAAGAGGAAGTAAACCACCAGATTCAAGGATTTTCTCCGGATTCTCAGAGCTCTTTCCACCCTGAATAACAGTTTATCTCATTGTGTATGTGTGTTGTTGCTCTACTAACCTTTTCGACACCCCATGAGTCTGGAACCGAATGCCCTTTGCGTGAAGCCAATTCAATCTGTAAAATGAAACGGTAAAAACAAAGTATGTTGTTAACAAACAATCTCAAATAAGCTATACTTATTTCTAGTTAAAGTACAAACTGCGTGTAACACGTGAAACGTTTCACGTGGGAATAAATGACGTGGAATTGTTTGACAGATGTAGTACACGTAAGTTCACGTGAAAGTATAACATTCAACTTCATTTAATTGTTTGTCTGCTGGCAAGTGGTTGTTCATCTACCCAATTACCACATTTTTTAAGAAATCTGCTTTTTCAGATTTTGGGGAAAGAAATGCAATTGGTATATGTATTCATACATACACACTCAGTAATATGTTTCGTGGATCGATCCGAATATCATTGAGATCAATGGATATTAACCAACAGACTGGAAGACATTAAGGTATCTAATCAACATTTAGTTTATTTCCTTCTATTCCATATTCTTAAAGTCTCAAAGTAGTCTCTCGCAAGAGATAATTGGGGTCAACAGAACTGACACCACCCTATCTAGTCCGGAAAGCCACAATATCCATATCATCCTAATTGGTCCTAGGGAAAAATTAAACAGCGTCATTTCATCGTTTGGTAGTCATCAGATTTTCTTTCTGGAGAAGTACGTCCAGTTTGTCGTTTTTGCATCACTCTTCTTTTTCCCCCCAATGCAAGTCCTCAAAATTCTTTTTGTCCAGCTGTTTTAGAGTTACAAGTATCTTTCCCTGTCAATCCAGGGGACGAACTGTAGTTTCAACTGCAGCAAATCAGCAGCCAGTACACCATAAAATAGCTTTTGGCAACTATGTTCAAGAGAAAGCTAGCTGTTATCCTAGTAGCAAACTGTCTAATCGAAAGCATTAACAACCAGTATTTCTTATCATAATATCCAGTTGCCAACAAGTTGCTTCTCATCCCAAAACAATGACTTCATTATTCAGAGGCTATTTTACTTTTTCAGGAGAATGTCTTCTGCGACTTCTGCTGACGTGGCTTTCATCAAGCAAAAGCAAAATAGATCAGTGAATACGGAAATCAGTTCCTCCTCTACTTCGACACAATGGATGTCTTTACTAAACAGCTGGATTATCAGTCAAATATGCCAACCATTCATTAATCGGTATGCTAATCCTACATTTCGTAACCTAATAATCGTATAATACTCTCTAGTCTAATAGATATTTTATAGCTTTCTGTCTACGATTGTTGATAAATCTACTGAAAATCTTCGTCTGCACATCCCAGCAATCAAAAGTCAACGCCATTTCGGAAGAACTGATGATGAAGCAAACAACAACAACAATGCTTATCAAAAGGGGTTCGTTACTTGCATCATCATCTCATAGAGTTTACTATAACTAATCGAAGTTTCGATAATTTGTCAAATAGTTGAACTGTACACTTCGTAGTTATCGCTCTCATAAAACTACAAAAATACTTCTCAGATTTTCTATCTGTCCTAAAAATATCTCAGTTGCTAACATATTTCCTCTTAGATCGCAAGAAATAGTGACGGTTACAATACACAACCCAATATGGATGACATGGAAGATGCTACTCGATCCCAAAATGGGTTTAGGAGAATCCTATATGGAAGGAGCGTGGTCAGCAACACCTAATCCCAAAGAGTTCTTAGATGTTCTAATCAGAGCGAAAAGTAAGTACTAAGTAACTGTCTTTCACACAATTAGTGAAATCTTTTTATATTAAAAGGATTACACGAATTGTCTGTTAATTAGAACTCCTTGATAATCTCTAACTCAGGACAGAACTCCCGACAACGAGGCGAGAAGAACTCTAATTCGATCAAAATTAGACAATATCTATTAACGTCGACTATGTCGACGATCAGAAATGTTGCTTGGCTTGTCAATTACGTCCTCCACAGGCTTCGCGATAACACCGTACGCCAGAGTGCGAAAAACATCGAAGGTATATCGAAAATCCTATTCTATCCATCACGAAGGTCAATGAATAGTTAGAACAACAGACAGAACTTGAAATACCATTAACTATTCGTATATTGGAGATGAACTTAATCAATTCTAAGGGAACGGTAATAATGCTTTCTATTTCAGATCATTACGATCTCGGAAATGATATGTTCGAGATTTTCTTGGACAATTCCATGACTTATTCTTGCGCTTTGTTCGAAGGTAAATTGTAGTTAACCAACAAGGAAGTAAAAGTCTCAAACTACAGATTGCAATAAACCTTATTTAACTTCCTTGGAATCTGCTCAGTACAAGAAAATAGATGCTTTGATTGATATGATGGAACTAGATGAGAACTGTAATGTTCTTGAAATAGGGTGTGGATGGGGAGCTTTTGCTATTCGGGCTGTACAGGTATGTATCTGCAGATGAACCTGGCCATGTACACTCTCCTTTACAGCGAACAGGCTGTAAATGGACAGGACTGACCATCTCCCATGAGCAATTGGCATGGGGACTTGATAAAGTTAAAGAAGCTGGTCTCGAAGACAAAATAAGTTTAATCTATAGAGATTATAGGTGAGAAACAAGAACTTGACCAACATCTCGATTTGCTTTGCAGAATGGACACTGGAAAATATGATCGCGTAGTATCTGTTGAGATGGTTGAAGCTGTGGGTCAAGCTTTCCTTCCACAATATTTCCAAGTTATCTCTGATCGTTTGAAACCAAACGGAAAAGCTGTACTTCAGGTAGAAATTCGACAAACAATAACATGTCGCAAATTATGGTTTAGGGAATTGTGTGTCCTGATGCTTATTATGAGAATTATTGTAAATCTTCTGATTTCATAAAGAAGCATATATTCCCTGGTGGCCATATGCCTTCACGAGGTTTGATCAGTACGTCTCGCAAGTACAAACAACCTATCAGGTGCTATTCGATGTAGTTTACCAGAAGATTTACAATTTGGAGAAGAGAAAAGCATTGGACTTCACTACTCGTGCACTTTAGATTGTTGGTTCAAGTAAGCTCTGACTGCAAAACGTTTCAGAATAACAAAACAATTTGCAGCACCTGGATAGAAAAGGAGGATCAACTCAAGAATTTGGGAATTTCAGACAAATTCCATCGTAAATGGCAATACTACTTCTGTCTTTGTTCTTCCTTGTTCTTACACGGACACATTGATACAATTCAGTTCTCGCTGAGAAAGAGCGCAAAAAACTAGGCGTTAAGTAGATTTCGAATAGCTTTAATATGATTCGGCTCGCTACTTTTAATTTAATAAAATCTTGATTATGACTCACCTTGCCGACAGCCACAGTAGTTGTTGCCATATCGAGAACATATGAATCCCCATTGGTAGCGGCAGCCGCTAGACTCAACGGATTTGTACCCAAAGCAGCTTTAGCTGCTCTTGTTGGATAACAGACGGGTGATGTATTTGTAAAAGCCAAACCCTACATTTCAGATTAACACAACATGCTATCAATAGACCTCTCACCAACAGACCTTCCTTCATGGCCCTGATCGAGTAATGCCCAGCAATACCAAAATGATTGGAACCTTAGAAAAGTTCGTATTTCCCTCGAACTAGTTAGTATACCTTTAGCGACAACCCATCCTACTCCAACTTCCTTGGCCTTTCGTATGGCCAAGTCCATACTGTAGTTACCCACAACTGGTCCCAACAGATTGTTGCCGTTAACCCAAGCTGTTGCAGCTTTATCCTGAACATACCCCTATATTCACATTTTAGATAAATCAAACAGACGTTCAGAACGGTTGGTTCGCCCGAACATGCAGTAGTTTTCTGTTGTAAATCTCTGACATACATGTCTGAAATTTGCACCGTCCAGCTCAAAAAAAGAAAACCAAGAGGAACCTAGTCGATTAAGCCCATGACTGTAATGTCCACGTGCATCACCATCAACTAGAACCTCAGCGAGTTGAAGAGCGTGAGACTCCTCAGCACCCGCTGTGACTACGCATTTTTTCATGAAGTTGAGCATCTGGAGGGTTCAAAGATCTGTTTTTTTTCTCTGTTCAGTAACTCACTTCATCGCGTTCGATTACGATGTCATCTGGAAGAACCATGGCTGCGAATGACCGAAATTGAGGTCGAAAACATAGTGAAGAACTGATGATTTTGCGATATTGGAAACCTGAACATTATCAATTCTTGAACGGAAGAAACAATCAGAACTTGATGTTCTTTTCATGATAAACAAGCTTTAGTAATCGTTACTAAACATGCACTGAAAATCCCTTTGCTTACTCAACCTTCATGCTTATCAAATAGTTGAAAAAATGTTTTTTTTCCATAACTGCTTATACACACAATTCATGCCCTTGTTTAAGACTGAAGGTCAAAGTCTAGCAAATGCGTCACAGACTTCAACTTTATATTTATCAATCGCGAAAAAAAGCTTCATAAACAGTTTGCTAAATCTCCGCGACTATCGTAGTTTGGGAAAGTTTATAAAACTCTTCAAATATTTTCTTGTTCAAAATATTTCTGACGTTTCACATAACAAATCACAAGAGAACACGATAACCTTATCTAATTTATAGAATTTATTAAAACAAATGTAATAAATATTAAAATAAGAGAATGCAATCACCTGTGCGAGAAACGAACATCCTTGTGTCGTTGTAACAAGAACCGAACTCGCGTTATCTCGGTTTGAATAATGGTGCGCCCCAGTGCTAAAAAAATCTGCCCTTCTGCTAAATTTAGGATTGTGCTATAGCATGTCTCAGCTTCTTAGAAACCTTTGTATCTCTAATTATCAGGTTCTTTGAAACATTTTTACAACCAGAGCTTCACATACTGTTTGCTCAACCAAATACATGTTTCTCCTTTGCTAATTTTATGAAAATCCGCTTCTTTGATCGTTCGGGAACCTCAGTACCGACTGAGACATACTGTAGCTCTGAGGTTGATCCAAGTTATAGAACCGTTCCATTCGACTCAATCTCACTCGTTTCCTTGTTCAATCTCAAAGCATAAGTGTTGTGTTGATTTCAGACTTTGATTCCTGAAGAAATTCATCAAAGTTTCTTCAAATATGGGGGCTAAATTCCGACACCGCGTTCATGGTAAAACGACAAAAATCCAGGGAGGAAAGGCGTAAGAGCTTTAATCAGATTTTCACTGTTAACTGAGTTGTTCTACAGATGTGAGGTCATCCCCTCACGTAATAAACACAGAAAACAAGCCCAATCTCTAAGAAGCACCTCATTTCAACAGAGTGGGTTGATAGCTGTGGATGACAGACCTCCTGTTTTGGGAGAAAACATATCTGATAACTTCGTGAGTGTCTTTCCTTCTCTATGTACTTCAATCTGCTTATTCTCAGAGTTCCATGACAATCGAGCATGGTAATTCAAGTAAAAGTATGATCTCAGAAGGAGGCTTATCTAAGCTCTCTGAGTTCACTTCTTGTACCAATCCTGCTTTCGATTCTGTACATCGTATTTGGAAGTTAGTTTAATTCTTTGTTTTTGTTTTTGTTCGTCCTGGTCGGAATCGGGCAAGGCTTTTCAAGACATCTTGTTAAGGTCTGGATCCTCCTTACAAACGGAGGTTATCTCGGTTCTTGCCGCTGTTGCTGAGCTCATCAAGGAGCGCAACGGTAACTTCTCGTCCTTGCTCTCTCATATCTCATATCTCCTCCTTACTAGGAACTGAAACGGATGTCGAATACTTTTCCGCACTCTTAACTGCTCTTGAAGGTGTTCCTCTGGAAGATTCTGGAAGAACCGCAGCCACAGCTTACCTTCTACACTTGATTGTTAAACGTGTGCCGAAGGAAGTTTTGCAAAACCAGTTCACAAGAACTACTCAGGTATCATAAGCTTTTGTTCATTTTTTTCGAACCCTATCTTTCAGATCATCTATACAAAAATACTGGAAAACGCGGAAAATGTAGATGGAGCCATCCTTAAGAATCTCTTGTCTACTCTCGGAGTTGTATTCCGATCTCAACCTGCGGTTGTTTGGAACAATACTAATTCCAAGTATATATCATACCCCATGATCTTATAATGTATCGTATTATTTCAGAAATATGGTTGTGTCTGTTGCTTCTCTCTGCAATCATGTTAAACCTTGGGTGCGAACCATGTGTCGTCGTGTCGTTCGAGCTGTGCTCACCGATCCTGTAACTTCTATGGATAATGGACTTCATGTCGCAGCCGCTGGAGTTGGTCAATTCATATTGTCCCAGCTCGAGAACTCTCTTAGCACTCCTGCCGGTGCCATGAACGCCGTTCGACATTTGTGCCTTCTCGAAGGAGTTATGCATAAAATGCCTGCAAATCTTTTCAAACAGTTGACAGAGACTATTTTGAAAGCTTTCACTCTTGCCGATTCGATGGTGGGTCTTGGAAGTTCATACAATTAGTTATACTTCGTTATTTTAGGTTAAATGTTCTGCTCTTCAATGCATGCATAGAGCTCTGCAACGTCAGCCTTGTGATGCTGCCCTTCCAACTGAAACTAACGTTCTTCTCATCAACGCTTTATCGTAAGTTCCGTTCTCCTATTGTTATATCACATATGTTTTCTAGTCAACTAACTCCTCCTCCGACTGATATTGCTGTTAATGCTTATTGGATGCAAGCTTTAGCTGAAGCCCATGTCTGCTTGACTGCCAAATCACCGGAAAGATGCTATAACTTGCTCCCTTCCACATTCCTCTTGATTGTTAAAATGTTTGAAACTTCTAATGAGCAGTTGGTTCAAATCACTTATCAGGTATGAAGAATGCGTTTTCTCTAATTATCCTCTTATACTAGGTTATTACCCGTTTGATTGAAAGATGTGTTCAAGATCACGAAGATTCGGCTCGTTATCTTCTGTCTTTGTTAGATGGAGCTTTGAACCTCCGAAACGCTCCTGTATGGAAATACATCCTCAGGTTTGTTCTATACACTCGTGAAATTGCCTATGATCACTTTCAGATCACAGATGCGTTTGTATGAAACTGCAGGTGAAGGAATTATTGGTATTGAGTTCACAAAAGCTCTCGAATCTCTCGCCGCTCTCAGACAAAGCGAGCAATGTTTCTGTAAAGCAGAGTTGGAATTCGTAAGTGTTTCTATAGCTTTCAGTCTTTAATACCCGTTTTCAGACCATTGGATCTGCAGTTCGCCATGTCGGAGCTGCTGCAGTTCTCAACGTTTTGAGCTTACAAATCGACCCAGATGCAACTCTCTTATCAACAGAATTCCCCAGATCCTGGTTGATTCCTGTTCTCCGCGTTAATATCCATAATGCTCCTCTATCCCTGTTCGCTTCATTCTTCCTTCCATTAGCGATCAAAATTCACAGGCAAGTCAGCTTTTCAATTCTTAAAAGTTATTTTGATATTTTTCCAGACGTTTATCTAGCTTAGACGGTCTCCCTCAAAGATTGTATAATACACTCCAAATGCAAATTTGGGAGCTCTTGCCTTCATTCTGTGAGTCTCCATCAGATTTGGAAAAGTCTTTCCCTGACTTAGCACCTGTAAGCCTTCATATCCGTTCTGATTACTTATATTCATCTCTAGGTTTTGGGAGCAGCTTTGAATGAGAGAAAAGATCTGAGATTAATAATACTCTCAGCTATTCGTAGAGCCTTGAAGTTCGTTCTTCAGCCTGATGCTTCATCTGAGAGAGTCGAAGTTTGTTGGATATCTTCTTCAAGTTCTTAAAAAGACTTTTAGGTGTTGGCCAGATATGCCAAAAATTTCTTACCTCTTCTGTTCAATATGTACATTAATACTTCTATTGAGAGTGATTATGATGACCAGGGAGTCAGGTGTGCCATCCTCTTTCTTACAATCCTTACAAGTATATTTCAGAGCATCCGTTCTCGAAACAATCAAAAATTATTCCGAAGTTGCTCCTGCTGAGCTTATTAGTCGTTTTGTCGATTCCGCCATCTCCAAATATAAGGAGAGTGCTGATGATCCGAAAGCCAGCTTGAAGAGGGTTTGTTTGTTTCTGAACTTTTAGATGTAGCTCTTTCTTTTCCAGTCTCGTATATTTGATCTGATGATCTGTCTGGTTCGTGTAGCAGAAGCTACTGCTGTAGATAAGATTATCGAAGTGGTTCTTCCTTTCTTCAAAAACCCTCAGTCTTATCAGAAGAAGGCTTTCCGAGTTCTCGAAGAATTGATTCTCAGAAGGTAAGATAACCATTTACTAAGTTTTATATCTCCATTCATTGTTCAGATCTTCCCCAGCTCTCTCGAACCTCTTTGAACGATTGGAAAACGAGATTGATGAGATTATGGGTCTTCCTTTTGATGTGATATGTCCTTCTTCTCGACCATCGTACATGAACTGTTGTATCAACTTGATTGATAGTTGCGAAGATTACAAGCAACTTAGCAAGTTCTGTATGGGAGCTGTAGACTCGATCATAATGTGCTTGGACAAGTTGAACAATACTCGTGCTAGAAGTAACGCTAGTACTTGCTTACAACATTTATGCAGCAAACTGGCTACTCTCTCTGTGGAGGCAGGGTTGGTTTTATCCGTTTGTTACGTCTTCTCATGAATTATTTTTAGGGAAACTCCTTCTGCAGCTCTTAATCAGGTTCTCAGTCGTGTATACGAACTGTCCACATGTCCTGAAGGCAACGCTAATGTTGAGATGACACTTGCCCGTTCTGCTCTTGTGGGTCTCAACATTATCGCCCAGAAGCAGATCAAAGTACTCAATGCCACACATATCTCAAGACTTGTGTCTCATGGTACCTCATGGATTGTGGATGGACGTCCACCTGTTAGAATTTTGGCTATTAGGTCTGTCTATAATTCCTCTTAATGTATGAAAGTCCCTTACACAGATTGCTGAGAATCTTGGTTTCGAAGATGCCCGAATTCGCTTTGCAACAATATAGAGATCTGTTACTCAATGCCATATTTGTAGACCAATTGACTTGCGATCTCACTATCAAGGTATGGCTCAGTTCTCTTTCCCGATATTATTTGAGTTCTCCTAGATCCGTAAAGCTAACAGGTTGTTACTGGAAGTTTTGGTTGACAAGTTTGGTGGTGAAGTGCTTGAGAAGTTCACGAAGAAAGATGAATGGCTCAAACAAATCAAAAATATTCAAAAAATCAAAAGAAGAAAGGCAGCTAAAGCTAGTGGTCAACAGGTCGAACCTGACAGTGATGATGGTTTGGTCTACCTTGGGAATTAGGAAAATTCAAATTGTTTTAGATGGTACAAGCGCTATTGGTTCACGTGTCAGTAGCACACGAACAGCTAATGCTGATACTATTCTTGAGCTATTGGAAGATAGTGAAGACGAGGATGATAGTGAGAAATTCCTCGAGACACGCAGCAGGGCTGGAAGTGTTTGGCTCAAAGAAGACCAAGGAGGAGAAGCTGTTGATCTTCTGGATACTGAACATCTGCTCAGCAAGGTTAGTGAACGACTTTTTCAATCATCGATAGAAATCATTTAAGGCTACTACTAATGATCCTGCTTTGCAAGCTAGACGAAATGCTAAGATGTTAGAGAAGAAAAAAGAAACTGGATTCAAGTTCACAAAGGCGGGTAAAATTGTAATTCTAGATGACGGTAAGAGAAAAATTTGGTCTTAATATCAGTACTATGTTTAATCTTAGAAATGGAATCCGAAAGTAGAAGAAAGAGAAGAAGTGACTTCGATGCTTTGGATGCAGACATGCCAGCTGCTCAAGGCAAGAAGAGAAAGGATGACAGCGACGCAGAATCCGATTATGAAGATTCAGATTCTGATGATGGCAAATCTAAGGTAATATCGAGATACCATTCGTTGCTTACAATATCATTATAGAAGGCTAAGTCTACTGTCTCTACAGCATCATCATATAAACCAGGAGGAAAGGGTATTCACAGAGACTTGAAACAGAAGGGCAAAAAGAAGGAGAAGAAACAAGGAAATGTACAACCATATGCTTATATTTCTTTGAAAGATAAGGCAGCCAAAGGCGACATCAGGAAAATTTTAAAGTCAAAAAGAAAAAGTGGTAAAGGTAAAGCCAAACTTACTTAATTGTTGTTAAAGTTTAATTTGTTATTGTTTTTATCAATTTGTTAGAAATTGTTGTGTCTCACATTGTTATCAATCTTTCAATCTGTTATAAATTGTTCATATTCCGTTATTCTTTTAATTAAAGGAAACCAGGTCTTTCTGGGGCACGCGTAGTCATGGCAACAGCTGGCTTGTTAGCCGCTGGGTAACAACACAGCTGGTGTGTTCACCATTTGACCCGATATCCACGTTCCTGCTCCTGTTTTACCTTGTCATTCCTTTTAAAAATGGTTATACGACCTCCGATCGAAAGTTGGACTCGTCCCGAGTTAGAAGACAGATTCCATACTATGTCTGATAACCATCGAGAATTGCAGAAAACTAATAAAGAGTTGGAAAAGAAAATTACTCAGTCAGTTTTCTCCTTCCAATAATAAATTACGCATAATCTTCTTACAGATTGACTAGTAGATTTAGAAAATCTATTCTCGAGAGGAAAACTAGAAATGATCAAGTTGTTGACAAAGATAAGTATGACGAGCTTGTACGCGACAATGAATTGTTACTTATGAAAGTGAGTTGTAAAAACATTAATAAAATAAACCTTCTAACATTTTAGTTGAAAACTACGAAACATCAACTACTAACCTATACTGCTCCGAACGCTCGTTCCACTACTTATTCGGCTTTAACTGTAAGTGAAAAAAATTATTTCTGCCATGAAAAACACAACCGCTTCACGTCTGCTCAAGACAAATAATGAATCGAAGCGTGATGGTGAACTGACGCTCTTTTTCAAAAATTATCATTAGAGCAGCCTTTTAGTCTAACTTTCATAATTGCGCTTATAGGGACGTTCGAATGTACCCGTAACAGGAATCCGTAAATACACACCTAACGCCCCATCTGGAAGAAGTACAAGAGGATATGGCACAGATGACCATATTGTCACGAAATTAACGGACAGGTGAATAAAACTATAATATTGAATAACGAAGAGAAGTTGTAGACCAATTAGTAGTCGGATCAGTGATAGTAACCTTAATGAGAAAGCTAATGTGATAAAACTAAATCGACTATTGCGTGAGAAGAATACTGAAGTTGCTGAGCTTCAGTATGAAATCGAACGGCTCAACACGGTAAGAAAGTGTTGAGAGAAGTACACTTATAGTATCATTCAGCTGTTAAAAACCACGAAGTCGGAGATTGAAATCTACAAAACACGGCCTTATGATACCTCGGAATTTCCAGCAACGGGTGTGTCTACTAACGTAGACAACCAGTTGAGGAATGAGCACGAATCGCTAGCGAGAAAAGAGTTGGAGCTAGTCAAGAAAGAGTTAGATGTGTTGAAAGAAACTAACGAAACATTGGTCAAACAGTGAGTTCATCTTATTATTCTTGTTCATCTAGTTGTATTCAGATTACTGAATCATGAATTCTCAGGAGGGGCAACCGATATAGTTGAACTCCGAAAGGATGTTGTAGTTTTGGAAGAAAAGTTACGTGAAGCAGAAAAGCGTGAACGTGAAATTGGTAAAAAAAGACGACAAGAAAGAAGACAGTTCGATGAGTGGAAACAAAGATATCGAAGCCAGATGAAGAACACGGAAAATCGTGAAGCCCAGAATCAGTTAGTTCATTCATTGAAACGCAATGAAAGTATTTTTTTTTCAGTGTTGTGCCTCAATATCAACAAGAAATTGATGAAATCACACCTCGAAGTGATCTCTCTTACACGGATCACCGTAGAAAGAAGAAGCAGAAGGTACAGTTGCTGTTTACTCAAACAATATCTGATTGAACAACTTCATAGATGGTCCAAGATAAGTCGGATGATGTTCTTTTACGTTTGTACAACGACGTTGTCGGACTTCTTGAAACGCACAGTGGTGCAGTTACCTCGAATGATTTGCTTTCTGACGGAGTTCTGGATCCCCAAAGTATTGAAAAGTATGCGAGTTAACGTAAAGTTTTTCTATTCTCTACCGTTGGCAGATGGCAGAAAATGTACAGCGAATTATACGACGAGCTTGAAAAAGTTCGTAACATGCTTCTACTTCAACATAATATCAATCAAAAGCAGAACGTCGAGGTGATCTGATTTGTTTTAAAATTATTTCTTATACTAGCGTTATTCCAGATATCTGTTCTCAAAGAAGAATATGAAAAGTTACAATTGACCGCTGAGGAGAAATTGAACGTGATTACCGAAGATTTGAAAAAGAAGCATCAAGAAGTTATTATTCTCGAAGAAAAAATCCGTCAAATAGCTTATGCTGGACAGAAACCAATCACTATTGGAGGTGTAACATTGAATGTAAGACTTAAGCTATACATACATAGTTATATGAATGCAACTGTGTAGCATCATATGGAAACATAGCAAATGAAACTTTTCTTAGCCGTGCAGTCATGTCCGAGTGGTTAAGGAGATTGACTAGAAATCAATTGGGCTCTGCCCGCGTAGGTTCGAATCCTGCTGACTGCGAACATTTT